CTTACAAGGTCAATGTGACCTTGACCTTTGACCCCTTGACCCCAAAATCAATAGGGGTCATCTACTGATCATGACAAATCACCATACCAAGTTTGAAGTTCCTAGGCCTTAAGGTTCTTTAGTTATTGATCGGAAACCGTTTTTGCTTACAAGGTCAATGTGACCTTGACCTTTGATCCCTTGACCCCAAAATCAATAGGGGTCATCTACTGATCATGACAAATCACCATACCAAGTTTGAAGTTCCTAGGCCTTAAGGTTCTTTAGTTATTGATCGGAAACCGTTTTTGCTTACAAGGTCAATGTGACCTTGACCTTTGACCCCTTGACCCCAAAATCAATAGGGGTCATCTACTTGTCATGACCAATCACCATACCAAGTTTGAAGTTCCTAGGCCTAAGGGTTCTTTAGTTATCAATCGGAAACCATTTGGTCTACGGACTGACGGACCGACGGACCGACGGACCGACAAGTGCAAAGCAATATACCCCCTTTTTTTCAAAAGGGGGCATAACTAGAGCTGTCGGAGGACAGCGCTGCTCGAATATTCGAAAAAGTTGTAACAAGAGTGTTTCATTGAGTATAATAATGCTTACCTATATGAATACATAAAAGTGTCCGAAAAGGTACAAAGGCTTGTTATTAAGATGTTTTATCAAGTAAATCACTGCCTGATTATTATAAATGCATAAAATTGTCACAAAAAAAGGTACAAACCCTTCAGTAGTTATGGATATACCAGCTTACACGCAAAAACTTAACCAAGAATTTCTAAGTCGAAAAATGGGCATAAATATGAAAGAAAGTAAATCATTGTTTTGGGACTTGTGCCAATCATTTTGGAAAAGTGTGTGAAGTTTCAATCTATTCCCTTCAGTAGTTATGGAGATACCAGCTTACATCACTTCGGATGATCACGTGACCAAAATCGTACAATGGGCTCATAAAATGGCGGCCTAAACTCTCGGTTAAAGCAGTGAAATTGAGGTAAGCATACAGTTAACGTTAAATTTATATGTAAAACTAGGCCGCACGGAATGCCTGTGTAAAAACCACGTACTGTTCTGTTATTGGTTACTTTGTAGCCCTCTCTGTTTAGGCCTGAAAGTCGAAAAAGTTGTTTTGGGTGATGAGTACAATGGCCGAACAGGTACTAAAATACGTGTTTTTCAGTAAAAGAAACGCATTTTAAGCAAAATTAGCAATGACATCTTGTGCACAATCGGAAGTTTGTCCGTCCAGAACAATTGCCATCGTTTATAAAGTTGCATAACGAAGTTGTGCATCTTTTTAAAAACGAGTACAATGGCCGAACCAAATTTAATGAGTACAATGGCCGAACGATTTTATTGCCTGTCCTATTTTGTCATTTTTTTCATTGAATTATGCTTGTTTCTAGCTTTCTGTCTTTGAAATCATACAAATATGATATTTGAAAGTGAAAAGTAGGAGGAAGTATTAAATTAAATGAATTCAGTTTGCTTGCTATAAATTCTCATCTTTAAAGTATTTTGCTTTGATAACACAAGTGTACATCAGCGTAAAAGTATTTAAAATACAAAAATAAAACACAAACATGTACATTATATAGAATTTATTTCACCAGCAAAATATATGTTTCAATTACATATATCTTGGAAATAAAGTCAGGATTTTTTTTTTTTTTTTTTTTTTTTTTTTTTTTATTTCAGACGCAGAAAAAGTGGTTCCTTTAAATGAAAAGCATGTTTACGTATATCTATGGAATATATACATGTAATGTATATATTAGATTTTAAAATTGTGCTTATATTATCGTTTAATACTTCATCACACCATATTAATAAATTCAATATCTTTACAGGAATTGGAAATTTCTTATGTGTTTATTTACCGGCATTATGGCAAATGGTATAGAAGACGATCAGCTTCATGTCGTCACGAGCAGGTTCACAAGGGGAAGGCACATTGTGGGACATTGTTTCTAAGTTTCGACAAATTGCAAAAACATAGGTCTGTAAATTACATATCATACAAGACGTACATAGCTGTCTGATATCTCTACATCTTTGTGTGGCAAAGATGGAAAGAGCACAAAGAAATGGTTACATAAAAAAGTATTAAGAAAACGATTAAGGTAATCCTGGAGCAATATATTGCCTTATTATTTGCAGCGGCATACAATGTACCCTGTGTGTTGAGAAATGAACGCATTACATAATTATGTTCCTAAAGGGATTCAGTTGAAGTACAGAATTTCTTATGAGATCAAATATTATGAAAGCCGGTTATAATAGCTCCAACACCGTTAAACATAACATGGAAGCCATATTTACATCAATAATCTGATAGTATTTCAAAAAATCTAATGTGTTTCAGTTTTTTCAGAGCAAACAACCATGGCGAATCAACACCGTTTCAGGCACAAGTTATTCACTCAATAAACTTTATTGACGTTTCTGCACGTGACAAAAATACCATGATATATAGCCAAAACAAAGTCTGATAACCTAATAAGAGGCACTTTTGTGACAATGATGAGAACAAAGTTTAACTGAGCTTGCTTTGATATTACACACTTCGATCAGTGATTACTCAAACCCTGACTATATACATAGGCTCTTCAATATGTACATTTGTGTTTCTATTTGCCGGAATGGGAAGAAAGGTGATCAATCAGCATTGCCCTAGTTCGAAAAGCTTTGGGCAGATGCTGCAAGTTAGAGTGGGTTAGCATGGAATAACTTGTGTTGCTCAAGTTTAGATTTTGTCGCAAACGAAGTGCCACATTCTTCGCACTGATGCAGTTTCGGTCCTATTTGTTTTTGCACTGAAACAACTGAAACAAATTAGAATTTAGAAATACTATCAGTTTATTGATGTAAATATAGCTCCTAGGTTGTGTTTATAACAGTGTTGGAGCTATAATAACCAGGTTTCATAATATTTGTCCTCATAAGAAATTTTGTACTTTAATTGTACCTATTTAGGAACATTCATAATGCGTTCATTTCTCAACACAAAGGGTACATTGTATGTCGCTGCTTATAGCAGATATTGGGGAAATATATTGCTCCAGGTTTATCTAATTTCTTTTTTCTTAATAGCTTTTCTTTATTTACATGTAACAATTTCTTTGTGTTCTTTCCATCTTAGACACTCAAGCCGTATGTAGAAATATCAGACAGCTATGTACTTCATGTACAAAATACAATTTACAAACCAATGTCTTTGCAATTTGCCGAAACTTAGGAACTATGCCCCACAGCATGTATGTGGTACCTTCCCCTTGTGAACCTGCTCGTGACGACATGATCGTTATTTAAAGATGAGAATTTATAGCAAGCAAACTGAATTCATTTAATTTAATATACTTCCGCCTACTTTTCACTTTCAAATATCGTATTTGTATGATTTTAAAGACAGGAAGCGAGAAACAAGCATAATTCAATGAAAAATTTGACGAAATAGGACAGGCAATAAAATCGTTCGGCCATTGTACTCATTAAATTTGGTTCGGCCATTGTACTCGTTTTTAAAAAGATGCATATCTTCGTTATGCAACTTTACAAAGGATGGGAATTGTCCTTGACGGACAAACTTCCGATTGTGCACAAGATTTCATTGCTAATTTTGCTCAAAATGCGTTTCTTTTACTGAAAACAACATACATGTATTTTAGTACCTGTTCGGCCATTGTACTCATCACCCAAAACACTTTTTTCGACTTTCAGGCCTAAACAGAGAGAGCTACAAAGTAACCAATAACAGAACAGTACATGGTTTTTATACAGGCATTCTGTGCGGCCTAAATTTACATATAAATTTAACATTAACTGTATGCTTACCTCAATTTCACTGCTTTTACCGAGCGTTTAGGCCGCCATTTTATGAGCCCATTGTACGATTTTGGTCACGTGATCATCCACAGTGTTACATGCAAAAACTTAACCAAGATATTCTAAGTCAAAAAAGGGGCATAATTATGAAAAAAAAGCAAATCAGAGTTATGGGACTTGTGCCAATTATGTTACATAATCACAGATAACAAGTGTTAGAAGTTTCAATCAATCCCCTTCAGTAGTTATGGAGATAACAGCTTACACGTAAAAACTTAATAACAGGGACGCCTGTTAAACACTGAAGCTGACAAATGGGTGACTGCATTAGCTTGATTATTCTGCGAATAGTCAACAACAATACAGATTTAGAGCAAACAAATGTACAGCTGGCTTCATATTGATGGCATAGACAATTTATTGTCACTCAGAAGTTTCAAACATTCTATTGGATAAAGCAGGTATTCAATTTTAAAGACCTGTGCTAAAGCCAATATTATTAAAGAGATGTTCAGATTATGTTAAATATAATATGTGTAGATTAAAAACCAAACCATGTGACTAACTCTGCTACTGCAAATATTATGGGAAGCTGTTAAAAGTTATGTTAAATGTATGTGCAGATTAAATGACATAAACTTTGCTAAGTACTGTCAATATTACAAAAGAGATGTTAAATATATGTTGAGATTAAATGACATAAACTTTGGTACTGCCATTATTACAAAAGAAATGATATAAAAGTTAAGTTAAATATATGTGTAGATTAAATGACATAAACTTAGCTACTGCCAATATTATGGAAAGCTGTTATGAAAAAGTTATGTTAAATGTATTGTGTAGTAGAAGAAGACATCATATGACATTAACTTAATTCTTGAAGAAGAAGTGATAAGAATTGAACCGCGCTATGACAAAACCAACATAATGCGTTTGCGACCAGCATGGATCCAGACCAGCCTGGGCATTTGCTCAGTCTGATCAGGATCCATGCTGTTTGCTTACGAACCGTATAACAAGTAGAGAAACTGATAGCGAACAGCATGGAACCTGATCAGACTGCGCGGATGCGCAGGCTGGTCTGGATCCATGCTGGTCGCAAACCCATTATACTGGTTTTGTCATGACGCGGCTCAATTTACTATGACAAAGTTTCACATATCACAACATATACAACTTACAACATATGACAATCTAGGTCTCTTTCTCAATTTCTCTCTCTCCATCTTGAATTAGAAAATAACAATAAAAGCATGTTAAACTAACAGGAAAAAAGATGTACGAGATACAATAATAAGCTAATCTTTTAAACAGATGTATATACATAAAGCTTTTTTGCTTGAGCTTTTTATCTAGTAAGGTCATATTGGCAACATTCCAGCTTTCCCGGTTGAGGAAGACCCTATCTACCACTCCATGTAATATTTCAGGCATCCGAGTAGAACCACCAACATTCCATACACTGACTGAATAGCTTCCTTACATAAAGGAATCCAAAGTCCCTGGTAGGATTTGAACAAATAGCATAGTCAGAGAGACCAAAGATTCCATAACTGTGACCATAACCACTTGGCCACAGAGCTCCTTGTATCTACATAAAGTAAAAAAATGAAGAATTGGCCAAGTGGTAGAAGGTGACCTTTTTTTGCAATAGATTATACAACTTTCCTCTTCTATAGTGTCATACTGATGTTTTACATCTACTTTTCCTGATGTAGCAAAAAAGCTTTGTCACACAAAATAATGCTATGTTTTAGAGAGACCCATATAACCATTGAAGTGTTAAGCTAAAACAGTGCAGTAAATTTACAGACAGTGATTGTATGTTAGCAACCATTACCATTCAGTCACGGATCTCAAATATGCATCTTATTTCAGAAGCACTCAATTCATTTGTTAAAGTAAAACAAACAACTTGATATTAAGGACATCTCTTCATGTATAAGAAATAGACAATGAATACAAGTCTACTATTCAAACCTTTCATGCAATTAGACTGACCCATGTTTTTTACAAAATACAGTAGAACCCCGCAAATGAAACCACTATTAGGGCCTATATAGTCACAGTAGAACCTCGTCTTTCAACCATCATGGTTTCATGCCTGTTTTCACGCCAAATCCCCAATTATGATCAATTTTACAAAGAGCGAAATATTTCCTTCTTATTTCAATGATCTTTCTATTGGAAATTAAGAATATGCTCGCTTATCTTAACAGCTCCATAATAAGAAATGAAAGCAACTGTATATATGTTCATATTACTTACATTACTCTCATGAGTTTGGTCTTTCTGCTGGCTTTCTGTATGACTCTCTTTAACATTCATTTTCTGGAAAAACAAATAAACAAAACTTATCAACTATGGAGAAACTGTGCCATTTCTTGAAAAATCAGACTTTGGTTCTTTAAATTTAATCCAAAATATCTTTGAATATGTTTAAGTGCAATCATAAAAAGTTTTTATTTTAGTTTTTTAAAACAGTGCACTGTACCATCAAAGTACACTTTGACAATCAACTGATAACCTGCGGGCTGCAACTGAAGATACCCATGTTACCAGTGCAGACCAAGATGGATCCTCTGTCAGATGATGGTCTGCACTGTTCCCTTTACAGTCACACTTATACTGAACTTTCCCTTTAAAGTGATGAATGGCTTTGTCCAGAATGAATGATGGACAAGTCCATTTAAGATATATAGGGTGGTAAGAGTTAAGTTGTTTATACAAATATTTCAAAACTAAGTCAACTGATTCACTAAGCAATTTGCTCTGCTTTGTTTAAACTGACTTTAATAAATTGTCGATTTTGCTCTAAGGTAATAATCTGTCAAATCATTTCTTCAAAATACTAACCAACTTTAAAAGAAGCATGCTGGGAAAGCAAAGTATTTGTAATGAATATACCTTAGTATGAAAAAAAAAGAACAAGAAAAAAATAATTACTAATAACACACTTACCTTTTCTTGACAATTAGCTACAGATTCTACATGTTTCCTTGGGCGGCCCCTTTTTCCTAACTTTTTCTGAAAGAAAACGCGTAATAAAAAGATAACTGTGGTTTCAATTAAAACTTCACATATAATAATATATAAATACAGCTGTTGAAGAGATGTTTAAGTTCTATATTGATGTCTTGATCGATATCAAACAAAATTAAATACTCTCTACTGTAGAAGATAAAAATCTTTACAGCTTTCCCAGTATGTCAGTCTGTCAATGTTTATTTTTACTTTACATCACAGCTTCTCATTCAGGTAGTTTAATTTCACATCTTAATTTGTAAAATAAACTTGCCCTGCTTTAAATTTGGACCAATCCATTGTATTTTCAAGGGAAATTTTAACAATATCAGAAATTTAAAAATTGAGCAGACGACAGTACAACATCTGGTTGGACTGCATCGATAAGCAAGCTGGCCTGATATACACTGTAGCAGTGCACTGACACAGATTTTACTGCTGCTACTAAGAAATCAAAACACAATCTCATTAAAATCATATCCTAACTGTTGCTCCACTTCTCTTATCTCAGAGTAACAGAGCAAAAATGATGAGATTTAATCAAAACATTATGTAACATAAAGAGAAAAGGGCAATGATGGCCCTATATCACTCACCTGACTTTAAAGGTTTCTCAATGACAAAGGACTGGTAATATTGATAACTATAGCAGGCACTAATTAAGAATTTAATTAAGGATAAGGTTTAAGAGATCACTATAGTCTTAAATCTTTCTTGACTATACAAATAAGGAGGTGGCCTCAACCTGTGCAGAAAATATACAGGATTTAATCCTGCATCTTTCCAGGAAATCCTAAGAAATCTCAGGAATTAATCCTAAAAACTAGAAATGTGTCATCATGCCACGGATGCCCCCGCATGCAGCCAAAATTTCAGATGGTGCATTAATTTTTTTTTTTTCATTTTAAGTTCAAAGCCCTTAAAACTTTTCAATGTTAACACAAACCATTTTCATACAATGTTCAAGGCACTGAAATTATTCAGTCTTAACCTTTTAAAAATAGCATATTGCATATTTGTAGCCAAAATAATGGCTAAAAGTATGAGTGCTGAAACTGAAAGTTCAAAATTTTTCCAACATTCAGGAAAGATAAGTTTGTCTAAAATCATTGAACCACGACCAAATTCAAACTTAAACTGCTTATTCCTAAGATGTATCTACATTATTTTCAAAGTGAAAGGGAAATAACTCTGCCAAAAAATCATCAAACCATGACCAAATTCCAACTTGACCTACCCATTCCTTTGACATTATCCATATGTCAAATTTAAGTTGAATATGTAACACTGTTGGGTAGATAATGAACAGAAACTGTAAATTTCATATTATTTTCAAAGTGAAAGGGGCATTACTCTGCCAAAAATCATTGAACCATGACCAAATTCTAACTTGGCCTGGGCATTCGAAAAACATATCCATATGTCAAATTTGAGTTGAATGTGTTGTACCATTGGGGAGATAATAAACGGAAACTGAAAATTTCATATTACTTTCAAAGTGAAAGGGGCATAACTCTGCCAAAAATCATTGAACCATGACCAAATTTAAACTTGACCTGCGTATTCCTTTGATGCATCCATATGTCAAGTTTGAGTTGAATGTGTTGTACCTTTGGGGAGATAATGAATGGAAACTGAAAATTTCATATTTTTTGTTTTCAAAGTAAAAGGGGCATAACTCTGCCAAAAATCATCGAACCATGACCAAATTCAAACTTGACCTGTATTTTTTTCATGACATATCCATATGTCAAGTTTGAGTTGAATTTGTTGTACCTTTGGGGAGATAATGAACGGAAACTGAAAATTTCATATTATTTTCAAAGTAAAAGGGGCATAACTCTGCCAAAAATCATCGAACCATGACCAAATTCGAACTTGACCTGTATTTTCTCATGACATATCCATATGTCAAATTTGAGTTGAATGTGTGCAACAGTTCTTAAGATATTGAACAGAAACTGATGATGACAGAATGACAGAATGACGGAAGGACGGAAGGATGGAAGGATGGAAGGACGGAATGACGGAACAGGTTAACACTATATGCCCCGGCCATTACATGGCGGGGGCATAAAAATCACAGGATTTCCTAAGATAATCCTAGAACTTTCACACTGTTGAATGGGACTGCAACAGTTACAGGACTGTCTTGAAGACAGGAAAAGAAAAAAATATGACTGCTGTCCCAGGAGAGTCTTGCTCCCAAGATTGTTCTGTAATCCATTGAAAGTCTTGTTCTCTGAGGACAGTCTTATTAAAACAGGCTATCTATCAGCTGAATATGCAGGTTAACATTACCATCAAAACACAAGTCAAATATATTTATAAAGTAAAACTTACAGATACTGCAGGTTGGGCAGACATTTGTGTAGTTTCATCAACAACCTTTTTTGGCCTACCTCTCCCCCTGTTTGAGATTTTCTAAAATAAAACACAAACATTACATATTAGAGTAAGTTGATTTTTTTTAAGTTGATTTTTTTTTAACAACCTCGCACCCACCATCACCCGGACAATTTAAATACATTTTGTATTATTTTTCTAACCCTGTTATGAAAAGATGCTCCCATTTTATTCATTTTTTTTAAAAAGTTTTTGTAAAAAATTTTAAATCTGAATTGAAAAACCTTTTGCAAAATTTTTAAAATCTGAACAGCCAGCTTTTTGTGGTTTGGTCCAAATCAAAATTTCTACACACTGTTGAAAGTTTAATTGAAAGTTTATTCAATAGCTGATACAGTGATAATACCATTTTTCCATCCTTCTACCTCTTTCTATGGTATGTAATTATTGTGATGAATTTCCTATCTATAGTAACATCTAAATGTAGTTAAAAATTGCAATCAATGAACCAAAATCTATACAGTACGTCATCAATTTCCACTTAACCACATACTTGAGAATGTCCATTTCATCTTTTAATGTCAAAAGTTGACCTTTGACCAATGTAAAGTAAATAATGAATTCTAAGCTTTTCTCCATCTCGTAACAAACCTCTAGCATTGATACATTTTATTACAATACAGTTATCTTAAACATAAAGGTTACTATCTAAAGATCAATTATGAGGTTGAAAGCTGAGAAAATTACTCTCTGTTAAAAAAATAATAATTTAAATTCATTTATTTGGTTTGGTTTAGGCCACCCCGACACAAAAAAATGTCATTTGGCATCATTCCAGCAACATAACAGCCAGTTATTGGTCCAGACAAGCATCAAATTGTACATGATTCTCAAAAATGTATTTTGAGTCCCGTCTTGTCAAAAAAACCTCAGTGGAGTCCCTTTAATTGTTCAAAGGATAGTTTTAAAAGCAAGAAAAATGTAACTCGGGGTAAAGGTTAAAATTAATGTACTGGTTTGGTTTAAACATGTTTATTTAAGCTCCACTAAAAAACTAGAAATGTGTCCATAGGACACGGATGCCCCCACACGCCACTATTCTGTCAATCTTATGACTCTAGGTCACTACATGTGCCACAAGTTGAAAACTAAAAATCAACAAAGGGCCATAATTCTGTTAAATTTGGTCGCAGCAAAAATTTCTTCCTTTACTACCATCTACACATTAAGGTTGTTAATGCCTGGAAGTTTAAGCAAAATCTGCCATCCGGTTTAAGAGAAGTTGCATTCACAAAATTTCTACATAGTATATAGTGAAAAAATCAACAAAGGGCCATAATTCTGTTAAATTTGGTAGCAGCGAAAATTCCTTCCTTTACTACCATCTACACATTAAAGTTGTTCATCTCTGGATGTTTAAGCAAAATCTGCCATCCGGTTTAAGAGAAGTTGCATTCACAAGATTTCGGGATGCACGGACAGACGGACATACGGACGGACTGACAAGTGCAACGCTATATGCTCCCACATTGTGGGGGCATAACAAGTTCTTGCAACTTATATTAATCACTTTCGAGTCTGCTTCCTGGAACCAACCAGTACTGATGTCATATGAAACAAGGGGGCCATGATGGCCCTGAGGTCGCTCACCTGTATATAGGCCCCCGGAGCGGGGCCAGTTTAAACCCCAGGGCTTTTATTTGAACAAACTTGGAAGACACTCATTAGAAGATGTTTCACAATGTTAAGTTTTTACTACACACATGTAATGAAAAACAATGTTCGCACCAAAGGAACATTCCTGTGAAGTTTGGATGAAATTGGCTTAGTGGTTTATGAGGAGATGTCATTTAAAGTAAAAGTTTACGGACAGACGCCGGACGGACGCCGGACGAAAAGCGATCACAAAAGCTCACCCTGTCACTTTGTGACAGGTGAGCTAAAAACACGTTAGTGACCCAATTAGGGCTTAAACCCCTGAACCCTGGGTTGAGAGGCAGACACCTTAAGCACTAGACCACTGCTCCACTTAATAAATGTAATATTCTACCTGTTCAGGTTTTATTGGGTATTTTCTCGGTCTTCCTCTCTTGCCAGAGGACTGAAATACATCAAATAAGAGAAACATTGCTCACATGTCTTAAACTTGGCCAAAAAAAAATATACAATGTAACGTAACAAAAAAATAAACGAGGTGGTCACAGAACAAGATTAGATTAACATGAAAAGAAAAATACAAGAAAAGCACTGATGCAAAGCATCAAAGGGCGTCCAAGCAAGAAATGCAGCAGGTGAAGATGAACTAGTAGACATATGATGACAGGATATTCTTATAATCTTTTCAATGGTTAATTGGTTTTTACCAGAATTGTATATCACTTATGAATGAACGGACGAAAGACATTGTTCATTATGAACTTTGATTGACATGCTAGAGATTAGAATATTACTTGTTATTTCTTTATGATCGTGATTATTAATAGCAACAAATATACATGTACCGACGATTATAAGTCAAAACTTAACTGGAAAAAGTCAGTAAATTATGGTTAATCTTTCAATATATAATATTGTTTATTCTTAAACCATGTACATGTACATTTGTATTTTTCTTTATCCTTTTTTCAATTGAATGATTCATAAAATCTAATTTTTAATTTTGAATAATTCCTCGGCATCTTTACAAAACACGAATAACAAATTAAATAAAATGTTTCAAAGTTGATAGTGTCATATTAATACCATAAAAATGTACCTTTTTTTCTCAATTATTGTACATATTTATTGTTTTTATCTCATATAGATAAATTGAAACATGCTATTGTTGTTGTTGTTGGGTTTTTTTTTTAATTGTATGTTTATGTATAATAATCAATAAATTTGAGAGTTGATCTGTGTTTATTTATTATTGGAACCAAACTAAGTGACAAACATTCATTTTGGAAAAAAAGCTTATTTATATGTAAAATATTAGTTCTGTTCTGTAACAATATCAAACATCTACTCCAAAGCCGGGAGAGACCGGACAATAAACGTGTGATACTATTCGCCGGTCACTAGTAAATCCCTGTCAAAATAGACCAGGAGAGACCGGGAATTACCTATAGAAGTACATCCCTCTATAAATAGATTTTCGGAATGTTTAGGTCATCAACTCATCATTTAATTAACAGCTTTTGGATACCATAATAACCAACTGTGTACTACAAAATGATAAATAAAAAACCCCGAAGAGCGCTATTTATTGACAGAAAAGGTTATTTCATTTGAAAATGTTTGCATTGCGAAATTCTCCAGTTCGCTGTTCATTGTACATATCGCGACATTTCATTTTTAATTGATAATCAAGCACCCTCATACCGATCGGAATGATCGGCTTTTATTATGACCGACTAAAAGGCTTGAGAAGTTGCTGTCGCCCTTTCACAAAATCTGATTTCATTCCATAAGGGGCGCAGCGCTTCGGCGCAGACGTCAATCAATCAAAAATTCTTGTCATTTGATTGGCTAATTTCTGAGAGCAAAATGTATAATGACCAATCTGGTAGAGCTCCATTTTAAAACTTGTCTTAAAACTTAAATCTTAAGAAGTTTGCATTCTGCAGAAGGTATTTATACTTTAAACTTTGACTGAGCTTTTAAATTACCTTGACAACAGAATGTTAAGTGGCTCATACAAAGTGATGGAAATGATAAAATGTCTTACCTTTTTTTGAAGAAACTTGTGGGCAGATTCTGGGAATATTTTAGCAAGTTCCTCATTAATAGTTGGCAGCTGAATCCCTGCAGGCAGTACAGACTGGTTTACTTCAGGCACAGACTGGTTTACTGCAGGTAGTACAGACTGGTTTACTTCCTTTTCACTCTCTGTGTTTTCATCTTTAACTAGGTTTTCTTGGATACCTGACTCTGGCAAAGTCTATGTAATATGAAAAGTATAAGTAAAACCTCTTCAAAATAAAATTTTTCTTTAAAATCATGCAGATTTCCAAAAATTCCTAACTTAAACTTGGATTTTACTTTCCCAAATTTGCAAAAAAAAATGTCATGATTATGCAATGAACACTAACGTTACGAACATGCCGTCTTATAAGCACAGAATACAGTATGTGTGTAACTGAAGATCATTATTAATTCATTTAGAAACTGTAAAAAACTTGGAAGGCAAAAATATTTTAACAATCAAATATTTGCGCTGAAACAGGAAAAGTTATATTGGCTAACTTCAGATGTTACAAACTTAAAGCACAACCAGGGGTCAAAACCACCTCACCTAGCTGGAGCTTTAAGAGATGTATAGACTCCAGTAATTCGAACCCATTTAGTCGCCACTTACCAAGATCATGCAGGGATAAACTGTAGCTGCAATTCGGATGCCTGAACCCTTGGAGGCAACCCCTCAGCCACAAGGGTGAAGGACAATAGAAAAATGAGTATAAATATACATATAAGAAGCTTACATGCTGTGTGATGTTTCCAGGTTCAACTGCCATTGTATTTGTTTGTCCAATATTTACATGTCTGAAATTTGAAGAAAAAAAACATGCATTATGCATTATGAATATGTGACCCATACAATACATATACTGTTAATGAATAAATGAATCAATAACTGTAAATAAATCAATATAAATTTACAAGCGATATAATTTTTGGTACATTAAAAAACTAGAAAAATATTACATGGTATAGTATCAGTGAACAGACCTGCAATACTTTTATATATTACAGAATAACCTATACATGTATATTAATAATATTACATTGAAATTGACTGTGTGATATTTTCTGCAATATGTAATGGATTTCTTTCCAATTTCACTTTAACAGAATTGATCAAAATGCTACATGCTGTTATGACCTACAAAATCGTTATTTATTTTCTTGCATTGAAACAGCTGTTTAAACTGCAATCTGCTGTCATAATTGATGTCTTTTTCAAATGTTGACAGATGTGCAGATCTCTAGCACAGTATTTACCTTAACCTCAACAAAGTCTGTGACTTAACAGCTTAATATTACTTTGACAAAGTAAAAAAGACAGACCTCATTGGACTGACATCCTTCAGTTAAATAACTCACTTAGTACCTTTAGACAGATAATCACTTAGTACCTCCAACCAAATAAATCACTAAAAACCTTAATGAGGTTAACAAGCAATTAACACTGACTATTGCAAGCATTTCACAAGTCCCCTACCAGTTAGAACCCCAACAACATTCTGAAGGACCATTGGCCATTCAATTATGACATTGAATAAATTATTGACATGAATGAACTTAATATTTTGAGATCTTAGTTTGTCTGTGTTAAGTTTCCCTTCCTAGTAAGGAAATTATGTTTATACAACAGGTAATCAAGGTTTCTCAGGATGAATATGTACATGTATAACAAATGTTTCAACTTTTCTCTTTTTTAAGTAAATTTCTTGGAAAAGTTCAAAGTTCTTTAACCCATTACTTCATGAGCATTTTGTGAAAAATGGCTGTTTTCATTGAAAAGTCTCCCGTTACAAGTTCAAATTGCTATAATACTATAAAAACTGCTTCAACACTAATCAAACTTGGCACAAATGTTGACTGGACCATTGCCCTTGCAACAACATGCTCAGGCTTAAATTTTCTGTTACCATGGCAACGAAGGGACATCTCGCCAAAAATCACTATTTTGCGTTGATTTTTTCCATCAAAATTGATTTCAAAGTGCTGCAACTTCTCAATGGATTGAGATAGAGTCAAATGCTTTTCAGCGTTGGTTACACGTTACCTTATGATCAATCTGGGGTCATTTACAGCCTCTCACAAGTCCAAAATTTTCTTGGCGATGAGGGGGACTCCGCCACCCTTCAAACCCCCCAAACAGAAGGGGGCACATCCCCCTTCTGGCAACCCCCTGATGTATCTTTTGGTCGGGGGGCCGCGCCGAAAAAGAGGTCACTTTTTTTAACAACATTTCTCAAACAAAAACAAGTGTTGGGGGCCTAAATAAGGCATTTTTTCATCATTTGAGACAACAAAAAAGGGGAGGGGGGGTGAAAAAGGCGTTAAAAGGCGTGTATATGAAGTAATGGGTTAAAAGTTATATCACTGGCAACTAGTGATGTTCCGATTGTCGCAAGTCGCTGATAATCAGTTACTGTTATGTAAAGCAACAATAATCGATAATCGATTCACAAAAAAATAGTTCCGCAACGTTGTCGAAAATGTTAAAAGTATCAAAGGGATTTAATTCTGACGGTAATTTTCTTTTAGGAACACCTCGCCCATCGCAAAAAATCATCTCAGAGACAATTTGGAGTTTAAAACAGGATCAATAAGTTATGTAAACAATAGTAATATAATGTGATGTGAATGTTATTATTTGACATCCATTAAAAAATAAAATATATTTCGTAAAATTATGAAAATTATGACTATATAAGGTAAAAACTGTGTTGAAAAGCACTAAATGAAGTTCATGTTACTGGATATACAAATGTAATCAAATGCCTCGGGAAAAAATGTTACTTCCCTATTTCTTTTTAACGCGACTTTATTCGAAAAGTTATCGATTATGTCCCATCCGACTGAACCGATGATCGATTGGGACAAATTTCATCCGATTTCCATCACTACTGGCAACAGCTTTTAGGAATGGACAATGGACGGACAGACTGAAAGACACTCTGAGGGTAAATCTTTAAATATCCCTGGTTGTTATCATAATACTGACATGTGTAACATTTTTAAAAGCAAAATTCTTAAACTAAAGGGGAGATAAAATAAAGATGCTAGACTTATGGACATAGTCATACATGATGTGAGTGTAACAAAGAACAATTATCTTATAAAGTTTAAAGAACATACCATTTATAGTTAGAAGAAAAGTGAAAAATAACAATTTTCAAATATACCATTTATATTAACAGAGTAAATTAAAATTAAAAAAAAAAAAAAACAATTTTCAAGTAAATTTCAAATTTAAAATGAAAATAATCATGAAAACCCACGACTTACAAATCTAATCACATAATTATGATGTAGGTGTTGATAATAAATAACTTTAATTATAATCGTTCAATAAATTCTGTATTGAACCTACACTCATTCAATATCCTCTATATCCATTACATAAATTCAACACAACAACACAAACATGAATAATCCTACAAAATATAAGTAAATATACATACATCAGAATGCCATTAGGACATACACGAAACAGTCATTAAAAATATCCTTGAAATTTTTTAATATAACATGAAGTAAATTAAATATGATCTAGTGAACCATGTAGCTGTGTATACAGTACTTGCTATCATGTTATGTCAAGCAGAAAGATGTACATGGAGATATGCACTGACACCAAACTCTATTTTCAAGATACTCCAAGCAGAACGCTATACCCTGTCATACACTCATAATACTGTCATCTGTTTACGTCTGCTTACAGTATGCAGCAATTTCAATGCACACACTAGGTCTATCTTCAAGCTGACCTTTCAAAAACTTAAGTTATTTGAATTTCGTAAGAATTTACATTGAATTTCGTAAGAATTAACAGTTTCCCTATATCCCAATTTTAAACACTGCCTACCCCATCCTTTTACTGCTGAAACTTGATAAATGGTCATTTACTGCTTGTTAATTGAATTTGAATTTAAGAATGTTAAAAAAGAGCAGCCAAAAGAGCCATGTTAGTTTTCACTGATTTACAGGATGGTCTGGTCTACACTGTTCATTGCCAGGCTATGAAATTTTCAATATAAAATTAAATCATAAAACCGCAGGTCAACATTATATAGACTGGTCAGGCTCAGATAGTTTATCACCATTGCCACTATTTAGTGCTGTATGTAGGGTTAATACAGTTATCAAAACCTATGGTACATATTCTGTATTATAGCGAGGGTTGGCCAATGCCTTTAACCTTTTCTTGTAGTTTTTCTCTGTATATGGCAAGTACTCTTTAGGATGTTTCAAATAAGCTCCTTATTTCGACCCCCTTATTTCCTCGCGTTAATCATCCCTATTGAAAAAGACCGCACCTGATCTCAACTGGTCACTTAGTTCTTACATAACTGGCACAAGCCAGATGAATCCACTAAGTTGAATATATACATGTAACTTAGCTGCTGCCATTTTGGAACAAAACCAACTGTTCAGTGGTGTTATAGCTTCTAGAGCTCTGCATCAGTTCATGTTTTGATTTATTCTCAGGATGGTTACATGCTAGCAGCCAGGTAAGTGCACAGGACAGGGGGAGATCTAGATAAGAGCCATACTTATAACTCTGATTTGGAACAATTTGCTATGCCTTTTACCCACCTGGTGGGTTTTGTTTTCAAACCAATATGATACAATATAATTATATAAGAAATTAAAGCCTAAAAAAATGCTCAACAAATGAAGAATTTGCAAACTCAAAAGTTTGAGAAAGCCTGTCCTTGAATGGTAATTATACACAGACAACTGCATGTTGAATAACATATATGTGTAATTATGCAGACTTAAAAAGGCAAGAAAACAAATAAAAAATCCCTATATAATAAAATAAAAAAAAGTTGGGTTAAGCATATATATATTTGTAAGATTGATTGTGAAACAAGTTCTTGCAACTTATATTAACCATTTTTGAGTCCGCTTCCTTGAACCACCAGTACTGGTGTCATATGAAGAAACATGATCATGACCAGATTAGAGCTCCAACCCATGATCAACGGCTTCAGAGGCAGACACCTTAACCACTAGGCCACCGCGAAAGGTAAATAAAGAACTGGCACCAGTGAATAATTCTTTCCCGGTGTAAACAAATTAGCATGGCAATTTATCTTAAAGAGATAATACACTAGCTCTTTTCAGCATTGTCAAGCATAAAGACTCCCTATAAAATCAGCAGTCAGGAAGGTGCCTGGCAATTTATGATGTATGTGCACAGAGGTCTATGTACATTCCAAGTAATCCAAGATTTTATTTTTGTTAAAGAACTTGTACCTGGACCCCTACCCCCACTTTTACCTATGGTGCATTATGCTAAAAATGTGTCAACGCATTCCCCTATGTTACACCAGTTAAACACTTGCTACGTCCCTGTCTACTTTGAAAATCAGATAGGTCTAATTATGATAATTAACATGTGCCATAAACTGCAGGTTAATAATGAAGACTTTAAATCGTCACTCTTTTACGCATTTCTTGGTAAAATAAACCTACAAAAGATTGGTTATAATTAGGACCTACCGGTACATGTACCAGATTCCAATAACGCATGTAGAAATGCAAATTGATAAATATATTAACAGCTGATTAACAGATTAGCTCATAACTGTACAGTAATCAATCAGAAACAAGTTGGCATTAAAAATACGAGTATTTTACAATATCACTACTGAATCAGTATGCATATATCACAACAGAATTCAAGTAAATGATACAAAATGTATCACCGTGACAACCTTTCTTACCAAAATCCAAAACTGGCATATCCAAATTGGTTCAACTTCAAGTTATATGTGAACCCTGTTCGTTTCAACGGGACACAAACGCAGGATGAAGAATAATCTTTTAATTAGGAAAGTTATAATTGTAAAATTATCACGACTATTAACATTTTTGATTCAAGAACCACAAAAATAAGTTTTAACAATTGTCTGAACATATTTGACACTTTATAATTAAATTACTCTTCCAATAATTAATTTGGTTGCAAGTGTTAATTTATTTGATGGAATTGGAATCAGCAAATCGAACATGCCCGGACTATCACATTAATCTTCAGCACGTGAAATGGAATGAACACCCCTACTTTTGAAATGGACTATTCTCAAGTCATTGCGGAAGTAGATTTTTCGTGGGTGTACAGTGGCGAGATAGACTTCACAAAGAGCGGTTAGATTTAAACGTTAGAAGGTATGTCATATATTCTTCTTTAAAATGCATAGATAATTTATCATTAAATGCCGAATTTTAAGCCTTTTACCTCGCATATTTTCTGTAAATAGCTGCTATAATTAAGATTCTTTATTACCGGTGATGAAGTGAATATCTATTAGGAAAATTTATCCTATTATGACTGACTATACATGTACATTGATCTCTTTTGACAATTGGAAAACAGAGGCATTCCTGTTGAGATAGTGAAAATCACCCAATGGATTAATATAAGGTTTCTACTCTAGTCATGAAACATTTATTAGACCTTTTATACCTTTAACAGTTTAAAGCACAATTTAAACAGAATTATAAACTGATAAATATGACTACTCAGTAGGGGTTTTTTTTTTTTTGTCAAAACTGTGAAGGGGCCTGGGCCTGTTCATTTTGTGAAAAAAACGCGATATGTCTTGAATTTGTAGGGGAAAAAATTTGCCATTATTATAATTTCTGGCCTGTGTAAAATCTCACCTGTGTAAAATTCTAGTGCATGGATATTTTAACCTACATTGTAGCTGGTAAACATTTAAGCAAATACTGTTTTACTTGATTATTGGCATTTTGTGAAACTCATGAATTTTGAATATGAAGTCCCTATATTTTGTGAAATCTCTTTTGAAATTGTGAAGGGGCCGAACATCAGCCCTTAATAAAGAAGGAAAAAAGTGCTCTGCTCAGAGACATAGATAACATCTACATGTATTTACATCTCTGGACTACTGTAGTAGTCTAAATATTGTACAGATCTATATATCATTGCTTGTATTGTCTTGAACCATTTAATAGTTGCTGGAAAATGGAATATGATATTTTCAGTTATTATTGCTGGAATGATTTCATTCATTCATTCATTCATTCATTCATTCATTCATTCATTCATTCATTCATTTCATTCATTCAATTCAATCTTTTCAGAACCTTGAAATCATCAATTATGTCTGGATTAAGGAAAGCCAAGAAATATGACTGGAAGGATTCTAATCTGGCATTGTTTGGATCAGACACAGAGAAAAATATCAAAAGTGAGACTCAGTGGGGTTTTTTTTTTTATACCATAGAGCAACTTTTATCTTTTAAAATACAAAATTGTTTTAAATGCAAAATTTAACATCGTCAAATTGTTTGATCCATAAGTTTGTTTTTTTCAATAGTTGACCAAATCTATGTTCATTATTAGAAAAAAATGTTTTGTATATTATTATTTTTTCATAAATGTTTAGGTTTAATATTTTGTTCTGTACTTAATGATAGTCAATAGGCATTAAGGCAATTATAGCCCTGGAATAACCAAACTTTTATGGTATTGTAGGTTTTCCCGCAATAATTTGAGTAATCTTTAGATCTTTAAACTAGATAACCAAGATATATTCTTCTTTTTGGTCTCTTCTTATAAACATAATTTTCTATGATATATTGTGCAGCAATCAATTACCAAGTGCAAAATTGTTCCATTTGTGTGTATAATTTAAGTCAATATATTCACAAAATAAAATGTTGCAATGGCTTAAAATTACAGTAGGATAAACAAGTGGTGTAAAATAACAATGCTGTAAACAATGCAAATAATTTACTTAGATGTTTTTTTTTGTTTGACAAGACATGTATTAATTAATTGGTTCCATATTAATGTTTAAGCCTGTGGTGAAATTTTATCTTTTGATGACATTTTATTTAAGAAGTGCTCCAACTACAATGTGTGGGATAGTACATGTAATAGCTTTAATGTTGTTGATTTCAGAGGAATCTGCTGCCACAGAGCCAGCTTGGCAGAAAGCAGGTCAGGAAGTTGGCATTCAGATCTGGAGAATTGTGGTAAGTTTGGTTATATAAACACTTTATTGTTGAATCACTTTGTATCTTAAAGTTGGGCAATCCCTCTCAACCAAGCATTCTCACATTAAAGCTTAGTTTTACATGCAACATCATATCTTGTGGATCACTGAAGTTATTCACTGGAGACTTTTCTAAGAACCCTAACTTGAGAGATACTGGATACTTACAGAGTTAAAGCCCTTGGATGCTGATTTCTATAACTTTTATTTTTGTATACTTGACAATAAAGAACTTCTTTTTATTAATTACAAAGAAAAAATAATAAAACAGGAACAACTTACAGTTCTATATAAAGCATCTTTTTATTATTATTTTTTATTGTCAATGGACCTAAAAACTAAAAATGTTAATATACATGTAGCTTATTTTTCAATGGTTAATCCACAGTTTTTGTATAGTGTTTACAGATTTAACAATAGGGAATTATGAAAGGAATGCTATTAATGTATGAAAATATTTTCATAAGATACATAATGTGTCCTCTTGATCTGTTCAGGTCACATCATGGGCAGTCATTTGTGAAATAGTTTATTAGGTTTAAACCTTTTCTTTGTAATATTTGATTTTCATTCTCACATTTTTAGCTCACCTGTCACAAAGTGACAGGGTGAGCTTTTGTGATCGCTTTTCGTCCGGCGTCCGTCCGTCCGGCGTCCGTCCGGCGTCCGGTGTCCGTCCGTAAACTTTTGCTTTAAATGACATCTCCTCATAAACCACTGAGCCAATTTCATCCAAACTTCACAGGAATGTTCCTTTGGTGGTCACCTTTAAAAATTGTTCAAAGAATTTAATTCCATGCAGAACTCTGGTTGCCATGGCAACCGAAAGAAAAATCTTTAAATATCTTCTTTTAAACAACCCTAAGAGCTAGAGCTTAGATATTTGGCATGAAACATCTTCTAGTGAGTGTCTACCAAGTTTGTTCAAATAAAAGCCCTGGGGTCAAAATTGGCCCCGCCCCAGGGGGTCATTGATTTTCCCTATATGCATATAGTAAACACTTAAAAAATCTTCTTTTAAAAAACCCAAAGAGCTAGAGCTAAGATATTTGGCATGAAACATCTTCTAGTGAGTGTCTATCAAGTTTGTTCAAATAAAAGCCCTGGGGTCAAAATTGGCCCCGCCCCGGGGGGTCATTGATTTTCCCTATATGCATATAGTAAAAACTTAAAAAATCTTCTTTTAAAGAACCGTAAGAGCTAGAGCTTAGATATTAAGCATGAAACATCTTCTAGTGAATATCTACCAAGTTTGTTTAAATAAAAGCCGTGGGGTCAAAATTGGCCCCGCCCCAGGGGGTCATTGATTTTCCCTTTATGCATATAGTAAACACTTAAAAAATCTTCTTTTAAAGAACCCAAAGAGCTAGAGCTAAGATATTAAGCATGAAACATCTTCTAGTGAGTGTCTACTAAGTTTTTTCAAATTAAAGTCCTGGGGTCAAAATTGGCCCCGCCCCGGGGGGTCATTGATTTTCCCTATATGCATATAGTAAAAACTTAAAAAATCTTCTTTTAAAGAACCCAAAGAGCTAGAGCTAAGATATTTAGCATGAAACATGTTCTAATGGGTGTCTACCAAGTTTGTTCAAATAAAAGCCCTTGGGTCAAAATTGGCCCCGCCCCAGGGGGTCATTGATTTTCCCAATATGCATATGGTAAAAACTTAAAAAATCTTCTTTTAAAGAACTCAATAAACTAGAGCTAAGATATTTAGCATGAAACATGTTCTAATGGGTGTCTACCAAGTATGTTCAAATAAAAGCCCTGGGGTCAAAACTGGCCCCGCCCGGGGGGGTCATTGATTTTCCTTATATGTGTATAGCAAAAACTTAAAAATCTTCTTTGAAAAAACCCAAATAGCTAGAGTTTAGATATTAAGCATGAAACATCTTTAAGTAAATATCTACAAAGTTTGTTCAAATAAAAGCCCGGGGTCAAAACTGGCCCTGCCCCAGGGGTGTCATTGTTTTTAACTATATGTGTATAGTAAAAACTTTAAAAATCTTCTTTTAAAAAACCCAATGAGCTAGAACTTAGATGTTTAGCATGAAACATCTTCTTATGGGTTTCTACCAAGTCTGTTCAAATAAACAAATAAAAGCCCTTGGGTAAAAATTGGCCAGGGGGTGGGGGGGCCTATATACAGGTGAGCGACCTCAGGGCCATCATGGCCCTCTAGTTTATTCATTCTTTTTTGCTAGTCGCATTTTAAACATCTGTACATATACTTATAATCAACTTGATTGTCCTACTTTAAATGTAGTAATATTATCCATTGTTGTTTTAACCTTTACCACCCTAAATATCTTAAATGGACCTGTCCATCTGACTTTAGACATAGCCATTCATCATGTTTTAGTGAAAATTTTGAAAATTAATGACTGAATAGTGAACTGTGCAGACCATGATCAGATGGCATGGATGTGCTGTGCCCGCTGAGCTTGGCCTGCACTGGTGGCTTGGGTAGAATCAGTTAAAGCCAGCAAGCTTGGAGTGTAGTGGATTTTTGTTGTTTTTCCCGTCCTATTCTTATTACATTCAGACATAAGTTATTTTAGGTTTTGCTAATCTCTGTAAACATTCCACCAATCCATATTCAGGGTTTTAATTATTATTTTATAGACAGATTTGCGATCCATATCATTGTTTAAAATACTTTTATAATGGATTTTACTTTCAGCCTGTGTAGATTATATTTAAAATATATTGTATCCCCCTTGACCCTTGGGCAAATAGGATGTTTTCTTTGACACATCTGTTGCCTCAGATAAAATTGAAAACCCTGCATAAATCTGTAAAGTGGACTTTTCCTACTTTGGAATGCAGAAATATCCATTGTTGATTTTAGGGATGAATCATGTTCGTTTACAAATATTTAAGTAACATAAGTTGACAACAGTATTGTAGGGTCAATGTACAGGTTGACCTGACTCAGTATTGTTGGCCATGTTGGGCAGGACAAGTTTAACAATTTGCTACTAGCATACAGAGGTTAAATACCATGTCATCTAATATACTGTGTTATAAATCACTATGTAATGTGTATCCTAAAAACTAAAAACATGTGCTTTAGTAATACACACAGTGATATACCGTAATGATATAAATATTTGTTTCCTGAAATATAATTGTGTTGAGAGTCCATTAACTGGTTTATTAGTGGTTATTTTGATGAAAGATATTTCATATAAAAAAGTAAGAAACGTTGCTTTTGAAGTTAATACTGGTTGTTAAAAGAAACTACAAAGAATTTTAATATTATACAACATATCATATCAACTTCCTACAGTACTTAACATCTGTGCCTGCAGCTGCATTCAAACAGCAAAATGTTTCCACAAGTATTTATACATTATATTATCATAATTGTTGTACAAAATATGTTTAGCAGGTTTTCATTAAAAACATTTAGGTTAGAGAATATTTTATGATGATACATGCATTGACTGAGCAATAATTTTGGTTTTCATTAAAAACATTTAGGTTAGAGAATATTTTATGATGATACATGCCTTGACTGAGCAATAATTTTGGTTTTCATTAAAAACATTTAGGTTAGAGAATATTTTATGATGATACATGCATTGACTGAGCAATAATTTTGGTTTTCATTAAAAACATTTAGGTTAGAGAATATTTTATGATGATACATGCATTGACTGAGCAATAATTTTGGTTTTCATTAAAAACATTTAGGTTAGAGAATATTTTATGATGATACATGCATTGACTGAGCAATAATTTTGGTTTTCATTAAAAACATTTAGGTTAGAGAATATTTTATGATGATACATGCATTGACTGAGCAATAATTTTGACTTTCCTATGCTACGACAAGTGTGTTTGGTTTATACAGAATTTATTTTAGTTTGATTGTGTAGGAAGCTATTTAAGTCACACTTTGAATCCATTCCTGGAACCAACCAGTACTTAGCAATGGGTGTAAAATTTCTTGCTCAAGGAAGCAACAATTTGCCTCTGATAGGGATTGAACCTGTGCAGCTAGCGATCATTAAATTTCTTAGTTTGACATGTTAACCGCTTGGTCATGCTGTGTTTTTCCTACCTTTTTGGGAACTCCTACCTTTTTGGAAACTTAAAGGTCAAAAGCACCAAATTAGGAAATCTTGCAGACTTTGTTATAGCTTGAGAGAGTTATTGTTTGGATAAAAACAGTTTTAGTTTGTTTTTAGAGCTATTGTTTGGATAAAAACAGTCACACCTTCAGCCAAATTTTAAATTGCATTTGAAAAGTTTTGGGACACCATTTTGGGGAAGAAAAACATTGGAAGTAGCTCTGTTAACCAGACACTTTAATGTATATACAGCCAGTGTAAACATGTAGTCAGGTTTGTGTGGCGATCTGTTTAGGCTTAACTTTTGTGTGTAGAACTGTTAAGGCACTAAAAATGATTAAATCCATTCAACTAATAATTCATGGTTCAGACCACATAATTAGCTTCATTAGGATTAAGAGCATTGGGTCCCTGGTTTGATCCTGAGGCAAGTCTGTTCGGATATTGAATCTTATGGTCATTTGTCTCTCACCGCTGATTTTAGAAATCAAGTGGGATAAGTAGTTGGTCACTTGCGGAGAAATTGGAAGTTACAAGATAGTTGTCCACAATAAGCCAGTTTAAGGTTGATCTACTACCAAGATTTGTCCATATTTAACTGGTATAATGTTGGTTGACTGTTGAGATCTGTCCACAATTAGCCGGTATTTAAGGTTGATGGACTGCTGAGAATTATGACCTAAACTGTGTAAAAATCAGATTGCATGAAAACAATCAAACATTTATGCTTCAATTTAATGTCAAAGTGAATAATTCACAGAGTCTGTTATATTGAACAACAATGCATTGTGGTATGCATATAAACATGTTTTAATATTGATTCATAAGTGCAATTAAATATAAATTAAAGCTACGATATTACATTTATATTATTGATGATATACATATAGCTTCGCAACGGCGAGAAAATGTCAACTGATTAAATATATATATGTACAAGTAAAGCAGAAAGATATATAATGATTAAGTTCATTTAAGTTTGTTTTTTTTGCAATTTTTCATCATGTCCATCAGTATCATAAAAAATACCTATATACAAGTACATGTATAAGTAAATTATTTTCTTGCCACTAAATTTTATAGACTACATGTATATAACTGATGACAGCTGCTATACTGAAAGTGTGATCATATATTTATATATATAGTAGAAAATGATAGCTCATAAATTATTTCAGATACATATAACAGCTAGTTGACTTTGTTTACATTTATAAATTTATACCAAGTATTTGTTGGTAAATCTGTTGTATTGGGAGATATATGGTCACTTAATGGTCATTCGATAGTACTGTATAAGCAGTTGTAAATAAGAGTGATATTGTGTTAAAACCAATTCAAATAAAACTGCTTTTCAAATTAAACACTGTAAGTTGTTGCTATGCAGTTCCTCCTTATTTTTCTCTTGTATTTTAGCATCTATAGAATGATGATGTATGATAAATGATATTGTTTATTTCAGAACTTTAAGGTGACACAATGGCCCAAAGAGGACTATGGAAAGTTCTACAATGGTGATTCTTACATCATTCTGAATGTAAGTTTTGTAGTTGCTTTAAATCATTTGAGCCGCGTCACGACAAAACCAACATAGTGGGTTTGCGACCAGCATGGATCCAGACCATCCTGCGCATCCGCGCAGTCTGATCAGGATCCATGCTGTTCGCTTACCATCTCTATTACAAGTGGAGAAACTGACAGCGAACAGCATGGATCCTGATCAGACTGCGCAGATGCGCAGGCTGGTCCGGATCCATGCTGGTCGCAATCGCATTACGTTGGTTTTGTCAGGACGTGGCCTATTTGTTTGTTTTCCCATAAAAGTCAAACCCATTTTGATAGACCTAAATATGGTACTTTAAAGGCCCGTTATGTCTCAGAAATGCTTTTATGTATATTTCTCAAAAGCATTTTATTTTTGGTTTCCAGAAATTACTCGTAGTCTTTTGCAATTACTTGAACCATTCTTTTTCATCTGCTGCTTTTTGGCAGTTTGTACAGATCTAATGATTTAGTATTTTGTCATTATCCTTAAATTATTCTTTTTTTATATGCCCGAAAGAATTTCGGACATATTATGTTATACCCCCTGGCGTCCGTCCGTCCGTCCGTCTGTCCGTCCGTCCGTTAGCAATTTGGTTTCCGGAGCATAACTTAAGTTCCATTTGGCCCACAATATTCAAACTTCATAGGATGATTGTCCATATTGGGTAGAAGACCCCTATTGATTTTGGGGTCATAAGGTCAAAGGTCAAGGTCACCATGACCTTAAAACTGAAAACAGTTTCCGGAGCATAACTTAAGTTCCATTTGGCCTACAGTGTTCAAACTTCATAGGATGATTGTCCATATTGGGTAGAAGACCCCTATTGATTTTGGGGTCACAAGGTCAAAGGTCAAGGTCACTATGACCTTAAAACTGAAAACAGTTTCCGGAGCATAACTTAAGTTCCATTTGGCCCACAGTGTTCAAACTTCATAGGATGATTGTCCATATTGGGTAGAAGACCCCTATTGATTTTGGGGTCACAATGTCAAAGGTCAAGGTCACTATAACCTTAAAACTGAAAACAGTTTCCGGAGCATAACTTAAGTTCCATTTGGCCTACAGTGTTCAAACTTCATAGGATGATTGTCCATATTGGGTAGAAGACCCCTATTGATTTTGGGGTCACAAGGTCAAAGGTCAAGGTCACTATGACCTTAAAACTGAAAACAGTTTCCGGAGCATAACTTAAGTTCCATTTGGCCCACAGTGATCAAACTTCATAGGATGATTGTCCATATCGGGTAGAAGACCCCTATTGATTTTGGGGTCACAAGGTCAAAGGTCAAGGTCACTATTACCTTAGAACTGAAAACAGTTTCTTGAGCATAACTTAAGTTCTTTTTGGCCCACAGTGTTCAAACTTCATAGTATGATTATCCATATTGGGTAGAAGACCCCTATTGATTTTGGGGTCACAAGGTCAAAGGTCAAGGTCACTATTACTTAGAAATTGAAAACAGTTTCTTGAGCATAACTTAAGTTCCATTCAGCCCACAATATTCAAACTTCATAGGATGATTGTCCATATTGGGTAGAAGACCCCTATTGATTTTGGGGTCACAAGGTCAAGGTCACTATTACCTTAAAACTGAAAACAGTTTTCGGAATATAACTTAAGTATCATTTGGCCTACTGTGTTTAAACTTCAAAGGATGATTGTCCATATTGGGTAGAAGACCCCTAATGATTTTGGGGTCACAAGGTCAAAGGTCAAGGTCACTTTAACCTTAGAATTGAAAACAGTTTCTGGGGCATAACTTAAAGTTCCATTTGGACCACAATATTGAAACTTCAAAGGAGGATTGTTATTTGAAGGAGGTAATACTTTATTTTACTCCCATGTCTTACAAATGCTTCATCTTTACTAAAAAAAAAAAAAATCACTTTCGGGCATATAATGCTCCGCCTAGCGGTGCTCTTGTTATCATTTTAAATAATTATTCTGTAAAAACAAAATGAACCAAGGATTTTAAATTTTAGTGACATTTAAATACTGGTCCAGATCTACAACAAATGGTACATAAATCTGAAAAAAAAAAATCCACTCCCTTCATGCCTAGAGTCTTCTTAATATATAGCTTCCTGTTTTAAATTGTAAATTAAATGTTTTTTATAAAGTAAAAAAAGTACAAAATAACCTCTTTGCCCTTGAAAATTTTCTGTATGTGTAGGTTAATCAAGAATTATTTATGTTCATGTGTATAAAAAATAGTATTAATGACATCTGGTAAAAATATGCCTGCTTGATTAAGATTCTCATTATTGAGGTACAAAATGGGGAAAAGGGGGAAAAATAGATAGAACTTTGTGTCAGTGTTTCTGCCTGTTTTTTGAAAAGTTTGATGAAATTTTATTTTTTAATGAAATACTTGTCCCTTTTATCTGAATCATTTTTTTACTTGATGTTAATAATTTTAATTAAACATAAATTCTGGAAAACATTTCACTTGTCTTATTAGACAACCTGTGCAATACAAATAATTAATATGACACCCCTGGTACAGTAAGTATATTTATTTGGCACAAACTCAATGTTTTTGTGTGGGGGGGGGGGGGTGAAAAATTATGGCTAAAATTGCTAATTTGGGAAGTAAAAAAGACTGGTGTAAGTTCAGATTTTTTGGGAAAACTGCATGATTTTAAAGAAAACTTGTACTGGAAAGAGACCTTTTATAGGCCTTTGTTGAAAAATCACTGACACACAGTATAGTTTGTATATGGTATGAAAAAATAATTTAACATCCATTTGTGGCCTACACTATGATATTTGAAGTTTATTTTCATCGTCCTAAAAATGACACTGGTACTGGTTTGTTCAGGAAGTGTACAAGTCATACTTACAAATAAATGACAAAATCTAATAGGTTGAGCTCCTGTTATAATCAAACTGATTAAAATTAATCAAGTAGGTTATCCTTCTTACCCGTTGATGGCTGATTTAATCTGTAAATATTTTCACATTCCTGTATTATCAATCAAAAAATCAAAATGAGGGCAATTAGACTACTTCCGGATCAACTCTGTTGGCTCAATTGGTTGGTGATAAATTTTGAGTTTGCATAATTATGTAAATCAGCAACATATCAGCTCCCATGTTTAAACATTTTTGATTTTAAAAACTATATGCTGAGCACTGTCTGGTTAGCTCAATAGCTAGAGCGTTTGACTGTGATTTGGGTGATCTGGGTTCTTTTCCCCAACGGTGCAGGTCACTTGTTGTGATTGATCATGAAATCCTTTCTAAGTGGTCATTCGCACTGTACCTCTGCTCTGGCAAGTACAGAAGTTATAAGTTCCTTGTGAAAGTGAAAGCAACTAGTACAACCTTTGACAACCTGCACTTAGGAACAATGCAGTAGCTGAAATGTGCTCTGTTTAATTCAAAGTGACTAACTGCCATGATCCGGATTGAAAACTACCAATAGCACCACCAGTCCACCACCAACCTACATGCTGAATACTTAGACACTTATGGGTCAGAATCAAGCATAAAGAGAGGATATATTGCCTATACATAAAATAGCATAATATCTAAACTTGGTTGTACAAGTGGATAGAATTGTTGACTTCCATGAACAGAGCAATCAAACCTGGTCTGCATTTTTGGCAATTGGTGCATTATAGGTGTAACTCGTATGGCAAAATGGATGAAATACACTTGTTTTACAGCAAACCCTTGATATTTAGTGTTCATGAACTTCCTTATTACAGATTTAAACAACTTTTGCTAGCAGCAAATGTTTTGTTTGTGAAACTACTTGTGTTTTTATTTTTGGAAAGCGCTATTACCTTTATACACTGCCTGCAGTAAATTTTCAACAGTATTTGACATGTGGTGTAAAGATTGAATAGTTACTTGAGATAGTTTGTGGTCTAGGTTGTAAAATATAAGATACCAAGGAAGAAGATAATCTCTGATGTGTTTAGATAACATTAAAACTATCCTGTGAACATTCTTTGTTTAAATTTTCTATATTTTCTCACAGTTTGTATGACACTAAATACTCCTGTTTAAATCTGATATAGTATTTGTCAAATTGTAAAGAACTACAAAATAATATATATTACTTTGCATGTTTGAGTGTTGAACTTACTGTGTGTCTCTTAAGTATACAAGCTAAATTCTTGTGTGAAAGTTTATAATTTTATTATTTTGTAAAATCATTTTCAGGAGAAACAAAAATATCATTCTTTTTTAATTATTTTTTCCTCACCAGTCAGAGAACAAGTGCTCAAGGTGAGCTGTTCATTGTTATACCCTCTCATCCATTCTTGGTTTTCCGTCATTGATATTTTTACTTTAAAACAACATCACCATCTAAATTTCTTTCCTGGCTTATAGTGATGAAACTATACAGGAATGATCCAGATAAATTGCTTAAATGGTTCTGGTCCTCAGAACAGATAACCTACAAAGTTAGAAAAATTAACATTAAACAACTTCTCCTCCACCACTTGGTAGATCTTCATGAAACTGTACAGCAATGATCATTAGGTAGTACAAAAAATACTCTGAAAATATTCTGGTAGTTAAATCTCTTCCATGTAGACTGTATAATCTGGCCGTGAAGGCACTCTTGTTTATTGATACTACACCAAGATGCCATTGTCACTGTTTGAGAAAAATTGTTATTGACTTTATTATCTGGTAGAATTTAAATATAAAGGAAAATATAATTTTGAATTGGCATTTTGTAATACATTAACTGTTTAGGCTTTAATATTAAACATTTAGTCAAGGAAAGTGCTGTACTTAAATGTATCTTATATAAAATGGCAACAAATGTAATATTCTTTATCTCATTTTGTTATGCAAGGAAGTAGTAAAATCATTATTTCCTCTGTTAAATAAGTGCTAAAAGATAAAGAAAGGGAAAAATAATATTGAAAACAAGCAACTTCATGTTATAAAATTTGATTGTGTGGATTTTGAAATAAATTATTTATTATTAAGTTTCAGTAAAACCCCAGTCACACTAGAGCTTAAGATTACTTGCGACCACCGGCGACTTGTAAAACTGACGATCATCAGCGATTGTCTGCGACCGAAACCATTTTTGCACGTATAAATTTACTTCTGCGACTATCGTAAGACCAGTCATCATTGACAATCGCACGACAGGTCATGAACAAACGTTCGATGGTCTCAAGATTGTGTGGGATTACTTACGACTACCCGTGACCTGTCATGCGATCACATACAACTAGTCGTACGACCATCACACGATTACTAAAGACTACTCAAGATTATCAGTGACTAGTGGCAATTTGAAAAGACTGTCGTAAGATTGTCACACTTCTGAACGACCATCGTGCGGCAGCCTAAGACATTATAAGATCACTCGCGACCTGTTTGATCGCAAGGAGGTTTTGTGCAAGCTCAAAAACCTCTCTACGACTTAAATTGGTCGTGGGACCTAAATAAGATAGCCTGCGACTGTCAAAGATCACCGATGATCGTCGTAAGACGTTTTAAAGATTGTCCGCGACCAGAGGTCACTGGTGATCGTGAACTGGTCTTCACTGGTCGTAAGCTCTAGTGTGACTGGGCTTAAGTTACACCCCTAACTATCAATTGTCCTAAACAATGTATGTGGTTTTCATCATTTGGATTCATGTGAAATACATATGATAAGTATTAATCATATCAAATCAGGCCTGCTGGCCGTTACTTAATCAACCCATGTGACCTGCAGTGTAGACTAAGATCATTGTTTGCACTGTTTCCTATTAAGCCTTTTGAAATTTTCCATTAAAGGAACTCCACTGAGGTTTAAAAGCCTAAAAACATAAAATTTTGATTTCTTACATTAAGATCAGCTGGGGCACTTTAAGAGATACGGTATAAAAAATTACTCAAAAATAAATACTCAAAAATATTGAAAGTCATATTTTTGTGCTTTTCACAGCTAGAATCAAAATTTAATGAAAAGCGTTTTAATTTTGGTTATTTCCCCAATTAGAATAACTATTCTGAAAAATCATAGTGAGTGTATGATCTGAAATTTTGCGCACAACTTGTTGGTCCTGACCCACATTAAATGGAACATTAATCTCAAAAGATTATTTCGGCTCCTTCCATGTCAAAAAACCTCAGTGGAGTCCCTTTAAAATGATGACAGGTCTTGTCAAAATTGGGAGATTGAAACTTTAAACATCATAAGGATGATATCATCACACAAATCTTGCAAATACTTGACTTGACCACTTACGTACCAGGATAATTTATGAACAGAATTATCCATTCAATCAGTTTACAAGCTGATTTTAAAATGATAACAAATGTATAAAGTTTGCATCCTGAGTTCAGTGACTTTCTGTTATACAATATTTTTTGCTTTTATTTAATTTCACTTTGCCATTTATTAATGCCTTGTTTCACCTTTTATAGTTTTGTGTCCTGTTCTAAACATCCTGTTTCCTCAATTCTTAATGATTTATAACAATCTGCTGGGTGCTTTCAGTGTAAAGCCACATGATTGCAAATAAAGTGATAATTACTCTCCTAACATTTTGTTTTCTCGACTTTGGATACTTTGATATAATTTATCTTCCCGGTAAATTAAGAGTCCTCCATCAATTTTAATATATGGAGTCAATTTTAACATATTCTGTCTAAATGACATAATAATTTTAAAATTATATTGACACTTTTTATGTCATTTTTCCTCACCGTATGTAAGACTTTTACAATTGTTTACCAGTATTCATCTCTTGCATTCCATTCTATTTTATGTATCAGGTTTTCAACTCTGTTTGTTCTGTCCATGCCTTATTTGTTTATTCTTGCACATCAGACAGGATTATCTACTTTTTACACCATTGCTAGAAAAACCTGTCTTACACCTTTGTATTTTGTAAGACATTTAGTCGCATGCATTAATTGACATCTTTCCCACGCAACTTTTATAAATGAACTGCGTTCTTAGAAAGACGTCATTGTGCCATTATGAATGAAGTTGATAATTCATACGCTACTTAAAGAAAAAATGCTAAATGAAAAAACTGAGTTTCGTAATTTCTTTTCGTATAATATCATTAATTTGTAACATGCAAGAAAAAGAATCAACCACAGACTGTTGTCACAGACAGGAATATTTAGCTCTCTAAGGTAACTGTTAGCGGAAACTCGGCAGAGCCTTGTTTATTGTAAACAGTTACCCTCGAGCTAGATATTCCAGTCTGTACCGACAGCAGGTGTAAGATTCTTATAAAACCTGATGACAAGTTTTTTTTTCTGTCCAAGGTGTTCCAGTGCATCATAATTACACACATTACAAATGATAAAGTGTATTTTTTTCTTCCAGACCTATAAAGATGATGATGAGGAAGAGCTACAATATGATGTCCATTTCTGGATTGGTTCACAAAGTACACAGGTCAGTTTAAGAATTATATTCAGGGGAGAATAATACATTGTTTAATATATTTAGATAAACAGTGATTTAAAGTACATTTACAATCAAACATACAACAATCCTTGTTGTTTGTATCCTGAATTGATAAAAGATTAAAAGTACTTTATAAGTAATTACGGCCCTTTTATAAAATATATACTGAATTAAACATCCTCATTAACCCATATCCCCCCTAAAATTTCTTTAATAGACTTGTCCAGTTTACATTTTGAAACTTTTTATTATCACTTTTGGAGATTTTAAGTAAAATTTGAGATAAGTCTGCCAACAATATAAAACCTGGCCAGACTGCTAATTTATGTGACTAATGTTGTCACCACAGGAAGAAGTCAATAGCAACTTATGACAGAGTTATTGCCCTTTGACTGACAAACTATCTAACAGGATTATTTTGTTTAAATTTTATAACAGGATGAGTATGGTACAGCAGCATACAAGACTGTAGAGCTGGACACATTCCTCAATGACAAACCTGTCCAGCATAGGGAGGTACAGGGGTTCGAATCTGACATGTTCAAGAGCTATTTCAAGACCATCACGTAAATATTTCTTTTTGTTTATCTCACCAGTTTAAACAAGAGTATTCATGAATGATTTAATAGTTTTTTTACTTTTAAAGCATTTTATGTAGTCTTAAAACATTTGTTGTGGCTTTCACTCCAGTTCATTTATATTATTGACTCATTTTGTTTTCTTTTTGCATATCTTGTACTTGAACTTATAAAGGAGTTGCCCAACCTTTCCATCAATCTTTACTGAAGAAGAAATCGCATGGTATATTCAATATTTCAAACATGATGAATTATTTCATATGCTCAAGGTTGTTACATATATTTAGGTACCTATAGAATGTTTGTAACATGCAGTAGTGAAGAACAATTGTATAAAAGGCAGGCATGACTACAACCCACAACACCTCTTCCCCCACCCACCCTCCAATAATTCAAGATATAAACAAAATGCATGAAAATAACTTTCAACTTTTTTGGTCACATCAATTTCCAGAATAATGAAAGGCGGTGCCGATACGGGATTCAGGAAGGTTAAACCAGAGGAGTACACTCCTCGCCTTCTCCACTTCTCAGGAACCAGAAAGAATGTAGAAGTAAGGGAGGTAACCCGTAACAAAAAGAGTCTGAACTCTGGTGATGTGTTTATCTTAGATCAGGGACTTAAGATTTATCAATGGAATGGTAGTGGCAGTAATAAGGATGAGAGGATGAAGGTATGTTAATTCCTCTACCATACCATACCAATTTCTTTAATTAATTGTTTAAATGAAAATCTATACCATACTGACTTAGTTATTTTTTAAATGCAAATAACTCAAAATTAAGGTGAAAATGTATAATGTTGTTTACAGGTATTTTGCCTTGCAATATTTTAGTTTGGAAATAGAACAAATTAACTTTCAGAAACAGATTTTCTGCATATTGTCCTTGTTCCTTGATTTTAAGTAAAATATGATCATCCCGGGAGTCCTTATAGTCAAAAGAAGTGACTGTATTGTATAGTTAAGTTGTTTTTTAGCAGGTTATATGGCTGAGGTTTAACTTTTTGTAAGGTTTTATAATACTGCATATTTGTAACGTCACTTTTCATTGGCTAATCGTGACATTTACATAGTTTTGTATAACTGGCTGCTGTCAATTTATTAAAAAAAACTTTTTGTCTCTAAAGAGGAAGTAAATTCGTTATAAATATTCTTGACAGGTTAATAGCAATATATAAATGGTTGTATGAAATATAACCTTTGAGATATATACAAAGATATTTTTATATAGGGCCATATAACCTGTCAAAAAAAAATTTATATCTTATAATGTAACCCTTACTGTTATGTTGCAAACAAACATTTATACAAACATATAACTATGTAACCTGTTAAAAACCCTTAAAACAATTAAATTTATAAATTACAACAATATTCTTTTATTTGAGGAAAAATTTATATTACTCAATAAAAATTACAGCAGCATTGTATGTTATGATTATTCATTGAAAACCAATGTAACAAATGTTCAAGTGGTTAATTCAGGGTCCATGTCTTTTTCACCCTGATTTTGCCAATTCTGGTTCAAAACAGGGCTGAATCGGACCTGATTTTCAAAAAAGCCATGCTGATTTTTCGTACAGGTTAGATCCTTCAAACCACTTGCCTCTCACCACTATAGGTTCGAGCCACTCAAACATCTTCATATTCTTTCATGTTAGAAAGCTATCCAGCTTGAGTACAGAATGTTGGTGGTTGGTGCCCGTTTGTGCCTGAAATAATGCACTGAGAGGCATCTGAGGTCTTCCTCCACCAAGTAAAGCTAGAAAATTGCCATATTATGACCTATACTGTGTTGATGCAACATAAAACCCAATAACAACAAAAACAAAACAAAACTAAAAACAACAAATGTTCAGTATTATGAAACTGAAATACATGTTGTATGGGGTATATAAAGTTTATAATGACTTTCAGGCAATGCAGTTCTTGATTCAGTTGAAAAGTGAAAGAAATGGAAGACCAAACACTGAGACCCTTGATGAGGGTAGTACTGAACCTGGGGTAAATGATTGCTTTTTTTCTCTACAATGTTTATCTGAGGATATGGTATTTATATGAGACACGCTAAAGGGTCTCCACAGCGGTTTATTGACATGACACGCATTTTTTTTTTTCACAATTTTTGTACCATGCAGGTTTGGAGGAATAATTCAATTGTGTGAATATTTTCAAATCATTTGTTTATTCCATGTTCTCGAATAAATGTTTTGATAAAAAAAATAACTTGAATTGGGCTGAGAAACACGTAAAAAATCTTTTCACAAGTTTGTCTATTCTTATATACATGCATCTTATATTATTGTTTCTTGTCTAATTGTGTACTATTTGTGATTACATATGAAATGATATTGTAAGATGCTGATTTTTAAGCATCACATTACTGTTATTACAAGAACAAGCATCAAATTAACATTGTGAAAAAACACACCAAAAAACCCCTCCTATAACTTAAATTAGCAAGAAGTCCCAATGATTGATGTATAGACAAGTAATTCTATAGTATGTTGCTATTTTTAGCTCGACTATACGAAGTATATGGAGAGCTGTCCTACTCGCCCCGGCGTCGGCGTCCGCGTCCAGATTTCAGATTAAAGTTTTGGTGCAGTAAAATATTTTTCACTATAACTTTGTCATTTCTTAAGGTATCAACTTCAAACTTCAAATATATGTTCCTTATCATCAACCACATCTTATGTGACAAGGTTCATAACTCTAGCATCAATATTTTCAGATTTATCTCCCCTTGAACTTAGAATTTTCCTTAAAAAATACTATTTTTTACTGTAACTTCTTTATTTCTTAAGGGATCAACCTCATACTTCAAATAAATGTACCTTATCATCATCCCCATCTTATGTGACAAGGTTCATAACTCTAGCACCAATATTTTTAAGATTTATCTCCCCTTGAACTTAGAATTTTCCTTAAAAAATAATATTTTTTACTGTTACTTCTTTATTTCTTAAGGGATCACCCTCATACTTCAAATATATGTACCTTATCATCATCCCCATCTTATGTGACAAGGTTCGTAACTCTAGCACAAATAATTTCAGATTTATCTCCCCTTGAACTTAGAATTTTCCTTAAAAAAATATTATTTTTTACTGTAACTTATTTATTTCTAAAGGGATCAACTTCATACTTCAAATATATGTACCTTATCATCATCCATATCTTATGTGACAAGGTTCATAACTCTAGCACCAATATTGCAAGAATTATCTCCCCATAAACTTAGATTTTTTTACTAGAAAAATGTTATTTTTTACTATAACTTTTTTAGTTTTAAAGGTATCTACTTCAAACTTCAAATACTTATTCCTTATCATCAATTACATTTTATGTGACAATGTTCATAACTTTTGAAGCAATTTTCACAGATTTATCTCTCTTTGAACTTAGGATTTTCTTTAAGAAATATTATAACTTCTTTACTTTTTAAGGTATCTACTTCAAACTTCAAATATATATTTCTTATCATAACACACATGTTGTGTGACAAGGTTCATAACTCTAGCGTGACTATTTCTAGAATTATTTCCCTTGATCTTGGAATTTATGTTAACAAATGTTATTTTTTTACTATAACTTAATACATATTAATACATAATTGATTTTTCTTTCATAGTTTTGTCCTCCTTACTGCGTCCAGTATTTTATTAGTCGAGCTTGGCTGTCTCCTGTGACAGCTCTTGTTTGTACATTTATGGTTATAGAATTTAAGATGTCTACATTTTATATTAAAGAATCTGGTTGTTATAGTAATTTTGCTGATTACAGCACGACTTCTTCAAGTCCCTGGATGAGGAAGATGATGGTGATGACGATGTTAGCGGTTTTGTTGCACAGGATGACCAGAAGGAACTTTACCGTCTCTCCGATGCTAGCGGTCAACTGAATTATAAACTGGAGAAGAAGGGTGATGTGTCAATGGGTGACTTTGATACCAAGGTGCACTAATATAAAATGTATATTTCCTGATTGTGTTAAATTAGCTTCGTGTAACTACTGGATTAGTACATATTACCCTTTACCACATGGATACATGTTTTAACATATGTGCTACAAAAGTGCAGAAACCAGATCAACCTGCCCCTCCATCCAGTCTGATCATGATCTCCATTGTTCGTTCTTCAGTCAGAAATTCTGTTATGAATTTAAAGTGAACAGTGGAGATCCTAATCAGACTGCATGGATGTGCAGAATGATCTGGATCTGCACTGGTCGCACATATGTTAAAGCCCTTGGGATTTTTAGCTCACCTGTCACAAAGTGACAGGGTGAGCTTTTGTGATCGCTTTTCGTCCGACGTCCGTCCGTCCGGCGTCCGTCCGTAAACTTTTACTTTAAATGACATCTCCTCATAAACCACTAAGCCAATTTCATCCAAACTTCACAGGAATGTTCCTTTGGTGGTCACCTTTAAAAATTGTTCAAAGAATTTAATTCCATGCAGAACTCTGGTTGCCATAGCAACCGAAAGAAAAAACTTTAGATATCTTTTAAAAAACCATAAGAGCTAGAGCTTAGATATTTGGCATGAAACATCTTCTAGTGAGTGTCTACCAAGTTTGTTCAAATAAAAGCCCTGGGGTCAAAATTGGCCCCGCCCCAGGGGTCTTTGATTTTCCCTTTATGCATATAGTAAAAACTTAAAAACTCCTCTTTTAAAGAACCCAAAGAGCTAGAGCTAAGATATTTAGCATGAAACATCTTCTAATGAGTGTCTACCAAGTTTGTTCAAATAAAAGCCCTGGGGTCAAAATTGGCCCCGCCCCAGGGGGTCATTGATTTTCCCTATATGCATATAGTAAAAACTTAAAAAATCTTCTTTTAAAGAACTCAAAGAGCTACAGCTAAGATTTTTAGCATGAAACATGTTCTAATGGGTGTCTACCAAGTTTGTTCAAATAAAAGCCCTGGGGTCAAAATTGGCCCCGCCCCGGGGGTCATTGATTTTCCTTATATGTGAATAGCAAAAACTTAAAAAATCTTCTTTGAAAAAACCCTAATAGCTAGAGTTTAGATATTAAGCATGAAACATCTTCTAGTGAGTGTCTACCAAGTTTGTTCAAATAAAAGCCCTGGGGTCAAAATTGGCCCCGCCCCAGGGGGTCTTTGATTTTCCATATATGCATATAGTAAAAATTTAAAAAATCTTCTTTTAAAGAACCCAAAGAGCTAGAGCTAAGGTATTTAGCATGAAACATTTTCTAATGAGTGTCTACCAAGTTTGTTCAAATAAAAGCCCTGGGGTCAAAATTGGCCCCGCCCCAGGGGGTCATTGATTTTCCCTATATGCATATAGTAAAAACTTAAAAAATCTTCTTTTAAAGAACACAAAGAGCTAGAGCTAAGATATTTAGCATGAAACATGTTCTAATGGGTGTCTACCAAGTTTGTTCAAATAAAAGCCCTGGGGTCAAAATTGGCCCCGCCCCGGGGGTCATTGATTTTCCTTATATGTGAATAGCAAAAACTTAAAAAATCTTCTTTGAAAAAACCCAAATAGCTAGAGTTTAGATATTAAGCATGAAACATCTTCTAGTGAATGTCTACAAATTTTGTTCAAATAAAAGCCCTGGAGTCAAGATTGGCCCAGCCTCGGGTGTTATTGATTTTCCTTATATGTGTATAGCAAAAACTTTAAAAACTTCTTTGAAAAAAACCCAATGAGCTAGAGCTTAGATGTTTAGCATGAAACATCTTCTTATGGGTGTTTACCAAGTTTGTTCAAATAAAAGCCCTTGGGTTAAAATAGGCCCTGCCGGGGGGAGGGGGGAAGGGGGGAGATAGATTGTTGTTTTTCATTATATGTGTGTAGTAAAAACTTAACATCATGAAACATCTTCTAATGGGTGTCTTCCAAGTTTGTTCAAATAAAAGCCCTGGGGTTTTAACTGGCCCCGCTCCAGGTGCCTTTATACAGGTGAGCGACCTCAGGGCCATCATGGCCCTCTTGTTTAGAGACACTTTCAGTGTTTCCCACCTAATTAGAGGTGTACTGGTAATAAATCCAGGTAATCCTAGTATGTACCCACGTATATGGGTTTTGAAAATTTGAATATCGATCTTAGAGCTGGCTAGAAAATCAACACCAGCTCGAAATTCGGGTTTTGGGAATTTTGAATTTCGATCTTCGAACTGGCCCAAAATTCAACTCCAGCTCGAAATTCGGGATTTTAAAATTTTGAATTTCGATCTTTGAGCTTGCTGGAAATTCAACTTCAGTTTGAAATTTTCTGCGTAGAAATCGTAGAACCAAGGGATCTTTTCAGTAAGAGCTAGGGACTGGTTCCCTGATTCCCTTGCATCTCATAGCTGTCTCTGAAGTGATTAGTGAAGAATGATGTCTACGTCCCCGCAAGGGGTTTGACATTCATGGAAGATAGATAGATAAGGTTAAGTTTACTTTTGCATACTATTTCATGTTTGAATCATTCCCTTTTATGTTTCCATTCTATAAGATTACTCTTTAAGACAGTTTTGTATTAAACCAATCACCCATTAAATCATTTTATGTGTTACAGGATGTTTTCCTGTTGGACACAAAGAAGTCATTGTTTGTTTGGATAGGAAAAGGAGCCAGTGAAGCGGAAAGAAGAAATGCAATGGGTTATGCACATGTAAGTTCTCAATTGCCACATTGCAAAATGTTTAATTCCATATTATATTATACAATATTATAAAATATATTATTGTATGATGATGTATTGGGCACCCATGGCCGAGTGGTTTAGGTCATTGAATTTAAACCACTTACCCTTAACTGCTGTGGGTTTGAATCCCGCTGGGCTTTTTAGTCTTTCATGTGAGGAACCTATCCAGCTAGCTTAGGGAATATAGGTGGTCCTACTCAGGTGCCGGATAGTACCTGAAATAATGCACGAAGGGCACCTGAGATCTTACTGCACCAGTAACTCTGCAATGTCGCCATATGCCCTATACTGTGTCAGTGTGACGTAAAACCCAATCAAAAATCGCATGATAATGAGGTGAATTTCCAAGTCTATTGACCTAGCTAATGTGATATTTGGATATGCATCAACATTTAAATGCCATGAATATTTAACTTCATTGTATATGGGCAGAATAATAGCATCCAAATTCAGAATTCCAATATGTCTAAAATGATGAAATGAGGTTTTGGTAAATTTTCAAAGTTGTCTGTTAATTCTTTTTCACACAAATATGTAAGACTTTAACAGACAGCAAACATAACACAGAAATTTTGTCAAAAGACAAATATAGAAAGGAGGCAACATATCCTAAGGGTGATTAAACAGTATTCAAGTAGGAAAACTGGAACCACCCAAGTTAATAAAATGCCAAATAGAAGAAACTTAAAATACCACATAACATGTATACACAACAATAATGTCTTTCTGAATGATCTAGTCACATTTAAGGCTTTACGACATAGATTGACAAGTAAGGGAAGAACTCATTTCCTTTTTTGTATGATATATTATATTCGATAAATAGATTATGTGACTTTGTGTCATATAAGAGTAGCCACTTTGTGCATGCGCAGTTTGCTCTTAGAAAATAAACAAGCATATTTCTTTCATAAAGACAGTGTGAAAGTATTCTTTTTCAAGTTTTTGACGTTTTCAAAATCCAGACAAAATATCTTCAGGAAATTTATAGCTATTTACAGTAAAGACTGTTTACAGTGACCTTCGATGGGAGAAAAGAAAAAAGGTCATTATAGACAGGGAGTCACTGTGGACAGTCTCTACATAAATCGGATATATGAACATATCCTACCAATATTTTGTTGAAAAGCAGGATAGTACCATACTAAGGGTTTAATTATATTTTTATTGATATTAAACATATCAAATATCATTCATAAAAAACAAGAGAATATTGAAAGTGCATGTATTATTGGTTAAGATTATAATCTACACCATAACATTAGTATTTAAAAGTTACATATTCATTAAAATGTAATTTATATTGATAAATCTGTTTGTAAAAAAATGTTTAATTTCAATTTTACTAATGAGATGTTACTGTAGAGACATTTAATTTTGTATAATCAGCCTGTTTACTTTACGGAGTTCAATGTATTAATAAAACAAAAATAATAAAAAAAAATTACAAATCTTCACACAATTTCTACAGATAAGTGCTCCGAAAAAAATTAACAATCGAGGTTTCAAACATAACCACACCTTTAAGACGTTTGGCATTGTTTATCTTTACTCGCCAAAACACCGCAGCAATTATGTATATGCAGGTGTCTTTAATCATTCTATCGGCGAAAATTGATTGAATCTGTCGCCATTTTGTATAATTGTCAACAAACAGCCACAGTGTATTAGCGTGTCGCCGATTGGTCAATGCAAACTGCCGTAGATACAACGCGCGTTCTGATTCGTCAATCGCATGAATACGTAATAAGAAAGATAAACATAGTGAACTCTTGCCTTGCGGCGTGTATTTAACTTTGTTGATGTTGACACGCGTTCTTAATTAGCGGATTAACGGTAATTGGTTGTAATTGAGAGGTAAACAAATTATTAACAGACCTAGCGGCGTAAATAAGTATGACGGAAAATTATAAAAATCGGGCGACTTCAAAATCTATTTGAAGTTTGTTTTAGGCAAAGTCGCTGATCCGAAGGCGACTTCTTCGCCAATGTCGTCACCTAGTTCAAGCCTTGCTCCCCTTGCAAAAGTCGCTGTTCACGGCTCAAATACCGTAACGGGTGACTAAATCATGGTCGTTGTACGGACTAGACAGGGAGTCGCTACATACAGACCATTTATATAGTAAATACTGTTCGGCGCACCTAACTATGGTCAGTAAAGACAGAACGTCGCTATATACAGGGGTCGCTAAGACAGTCTTTACTGTACACTTAAATGCTTTTTATTTTCATATTTTATTTTTTTATTTTTAAAGTTTAAATCCATTAAGTGAACAAATATCAATTAAGTTTTCAGTTTATCGTGCAATCAGATCATACTATTTTATGGAAAAAAGTTGTGAAATGTTACTTAATTAACTGTTTAACCTTTTTTGTATCATTCCAGAATTTTCTACAGAAAACTAATCATCCCTTGGTACCAGTCTGCTGTTTAGCAGAGGGTGGCAGACAGGATGCCCAGTTTCAGATGGCTATTGCAGCTTAGAAAACAACAAAACTGTTATATATACCGGGGGAGGAAAATAGAATAGCCGTTAATAATATTTAATGTAGGGGGGAAAAACTGACAATTTTTATAATTTTGTATTCTGATATCACAAACTTGTTAAAATTCTATGTATTGACATAAGCTGCCATTTGTATTCTTTTTGTTTTGGTTATCTTTTGTTGTTAAGTCTTAATATTGCTATTGTCTTTAGTAATGCTATATTTGTAATTGCTCTAATTCCTGAAGCTGCTATTATTTATTTATTTGATTTTATACATTTGTCCAACAAGACTAATTTAGACAAATATTTAGGTACAAAGGATTGGGGAAAAAAGAGTAAAGTTTAGGTCTATATTGTTGAAGAGTTTGCATCTATAAGCAGAAATTTGTAATGTTGTGGTATTGATAATGATTTTATGTGTGATATGTAAAATAAATTTACTTTGATTTTTTTTTTTTTTTTTTTTGGGGGGGGGGGGGGGGGGGGTTCTTATTTCTAAGAAATTAATGCTGATAAAAATGCATGAACGGATTTATCATTTAAGCAGCCCAGTTTATCTACTCAAATTTTCCTCTTTTTTTTAGTATATTTTTTTTTCTGTATTTGTTTTCTTTGTTTACCTACTATGGGACCATGTTTCGTTGTATATGTATTGTATGTTACTTATTATGTAAAGTGCACTTAGTACTTGAGACCAAAACTTTTATAATGTGATAATATTCTTGTATGATCATAAATAAAGTTTTATGATAAGTGAAGTTGCATTGGAATCATAAATCACTGTCAATGATACTTTTAAAAAATCAAAACCATGGCTGTTTCAAGATATATATTTCCAATGTGTTTTTTTACATTATTGTTAATGGCATTTAACAGTCTTATCCTATTTAATTATCATCAAAATCAAAAATTAATACTTTTGATTCTCGTTTTTTGAACTCTATGACCATTTGTGAAAAAACAAAACACTTCTGTCAGGTTCCTTTATAAAATAGTAAAAGTTCTTCTTTAATATTTGTTTTGAACAAAATTTACAAAATGAGTGTGCTGTTTTGGCTTTCTAGAGAGTTAATAATCATTATACTTACAATTAGTATACAAGAATTTCCTCACATATTTTAACAAAAAAAAAATAAAGCATTATATAAATTTAGATAAATTGAATCAATAGTAGAAAAATGTATGCATAATCTTTTTTCTTATTTTTGTATACATTTAAACATTTTTGCTTTCAGTTTACACAAAGTGCTATTTTACAAACTATATCCACATTTTTATATACATCTAAATCGGGTATTTCAGAATTTCAATTTCATGTTTTTTTATACTTGTTTTTTTTGTGTGTATTTATTAGTTTACAAACACTTGTCATTTACTTACTGATGTAATTTTTCTAGTTTGTCTAGTGTCTTCATTACAGCATTTTGATCAAGTATTCTCTGTTTTACAATATATATTTAACTATATATTTAACTATACTAAGAATCAAATATTTCTATATTTTCTCTGTTATTCGTTGTGTTTATTTTTTTTGCTTTTTTTTTTTTCGCTAGTTCAGGCATTAAAGCTGCATGCCTCCAGATGAGCCAAAATATTCCAATAAAATTAAACATCGGGGAAATGTACTAAGATTTTAAGAAAAGTAAACAGATAAAAGATTCAAGTAATAATTTATATCTTATGTGCAATTAATGACTGATTTTTGCAGTATTTATCGCCATATCTTTAAACTGCGTGACTAACGCTGTAAGGATTATTTTTGTGTATTTTGACCTTTATTTGGTAATTTACGTGGATTATAAGTGCCGATATGCAATATGTCAATTACTTTCTTTGTTCACGTCACAAGTTTTTATTTTAAAATACATTTTCAAAGTTTTCATGAACATAAGGATGGATCTGGAGGCGTGCTGCTTTACCTTGTCTTCATGTTTATATGCAAAAAAAATCTTGCATTTGATTTTAAGTTTAAAATACTGTTATATTATTTAAAATTGCTAATGCTTATGTCAAAGCAATTGTTAAAGTTTTGTTTTATCTATACACTTTTTTTTTGTTTACACTAACATTTTTGTACAGCGCAATAATTCTCTAGTGCTATAATGCATTTATACATTTATTCATGATTGTCTCTATATATATCTACGTTATGTCAGTTTGGGCAAATAAATTATAGCAATAAACTAAATGGTTTACTTGAATTATTAATAAATTCGAGGGTTATATTTTATTTAGTGGCAACATAGTTATGTACACTGGTTGTAAACATGGCATTTATAATGTTTTGAGAGAGGAGCAAAGAGCTTATTGCATTATTCGTGGTTTATTGGGTAAATGCGCATCAGAAATAAAAAAAAAAACGGATATAGATTTAGTTTATGGAGAAAATGCTTTTCCATATCGCACAATTGCCAGGTGAGTGTCAATGTTTAAGAAAGGTAGAACTTATGTTAAGGATGATTCCTGCCCTGGACGGCCTCTTTCCGCTTTTTCTGGAAAAGACGTTGGCACTGGCAAAGCCATATTTGGTTATGATGCAAGATATACCATGGAGGACATAAGTCACATATCTGGCCTTTGTGCGTATTGTGTTTTCCATCTTGTAAGAAGAGTTAAGCAAAGTGGGCGCCAGATGGATCCCGCATTTGCTAACTTCTGACCAGGAAAGGGAGGAAGTTGAAAAAGCCTCGGCCTTATCGACTAGATTCAAAGATCGAGACCCTAGACGCCTGAGAGAAATTGTCACATGGGATGAAAAGTGGCTTTATTATTTTTTGAGCCCGACAATAAATTCGATATCAAAATGTGGGTAGGTGCAAACAGCGATCATCCAGTTGTTGCTGACGTACAAGCGTTAAAAGAGTTATGTACGCTCTATTTTTTGACAGTGATAGAATAGTGGCCCGTGTCGCTGTGCCTGAGAGGGGTAGTGTCACTGGAACATTTTACCGTGATCATGTTCTCACTGCTGTAGTTAATAACTACATAACAAAGAACCAAATGTCCGGGATGCGGTTTGGGTACATCCTGCTTATAGTCCTGCCCTCTCTCCTTAAGACTGGTTGAATTATTTATACATAAAATCTTGCCTTCGCGGTCACAGGTTCAAAACATGTAGTGCCTTTGAAAGCGCTCTCTACCAATCTACCAACAGTATACCCAAAGAACAGTTCAAAAATGTTTTTTAGTCCCCTACCGGTTTACCGGAGGGGACTTTAGGTTTACCCTCTTACCGTCCGTCCGTCTGTCTGTCCATCAGTCCGTCCACAAAACTGGATCCCACGATAATGCAAAAAGTACTGAAAATATTTTTATGAAACTTGGTATATGGATAGATTGCAGTACGGAGAAAATGTACGTCTTTTTCTTTTTATTCCTATGTTGAAAATCCTGGTTGCTATGGCAACAAATAGACTGAAAATGTGGTAAATTTTACACATAAACTGGATCCAGTGATAAGGCAAAAAGTACTGGAAATATTTTTATGAAACTTGAAATATTGATAGAAGGCAGTTTGGAGATTATGCATGTCTGTTTTTTAACCTATTTTGAAAAAAAAATGGTTGCAATGGCAACAAATAGGCTCAAAACATGGCAAATATAACAATATTTGTGATTAGTCAAAAAAAGCTGAATTTTTTTATAAAACTTAAAATATGGATAGATGGTAGTATGGAAATTATACACATCATTTTAATCTTGACTGTAGGGAGTATATTCAGAGCTGTCATACTTAACAAGTGTCGGCAACCTCGTTAAGATTTCTGATTCTAGTTTTTAGGCTTTTTCACTATTTATAAGTTCTTTATTTCTTAAGGTATTTATTTCAAACTTAGAACAATTTTCTGGTCATTAACCACATCATATGTGACAAGGTTTTAACTCTAGCACAAAAAATATCAGAATTGCCTCCCTTGAACTTACATAGAAAAAAAATGTGTTGTTTTAATAACTTCTTTATTTCTTAATGTATCTTCTTCAAACTTTATAAATTATATATGTTTCTTATTATCACTCAAATCATTTGTGATCTAGCAAGACTATTTCCAGAATTATGTCCCCCTTGAGCTTGGTATATTTTACTCCAACTTCTTCATTACTTACATGATTTACTTCAAATTCCCACATCGTAATAATATGACAAGGTTTATAAATCTAGCATTCTTATTTCCAGAATTATCTCCTCCTTAAACTTTAAATTTTTCTTATTCATTCTTTTAACTTTCTTTTACTTCAAATTCAAAATAAACATTCATTATGAACAGCTTCATTACTAATTGTTCTTTGTTACACTCACATCATGTATGACATCTTGGATCTTTATTTCAAGAGTTATCTCCTCTTTAAGAATTTGCTTTTAAACATTTTAAATTTTGGTAACAGGGATGTTTAAAAAAATAACGTTAGAGTGTCCTTCAGTCTTTCTGTTCATAAAAACTGTTTCCTGTGATCACTTTTAAAGAACTTTTCCAACAAATTTACTTAAAAAAGAGAAAAATTGAAACATTAGTGAATGGCCAATGGCCCTTCAGAATGTTGCTGGGGTTCTAACCGATAGGGAACTTATGGATTGCTTGCAATATTATGAAAATTGCTTGTTGAGAATGAATTCTGAGGCTGTAAAAGTGTGTAAAGGTCCTTGGTAAATATTTTTAAGGACTACTAATCATTTTTCACAGGTATGACTTATTTATAAAAGCACGCTGCCGTTGCCACTACTCGTAATATTGTGACTTATTGAGATTGATGTAATAGTATGACTTTTTTGTGTTTTTATATAACATATTTTATTGGCTCTTAGAAATATTTTGGACCAAAATTACAGGGACATAGTGTTAATAAACAATATTTTTCCTAGAATGCATGGACACAAAAGAATTCAAAATTCTTAATTAGGTTTTAATTACAATATAAATGTATGTAAAATGAAGTTAAAGATCACCAAGCAGGAGCAGGCTGTGATCAAAATACCAAAAACAATGTTATACACTATAGTTATCTATTATGTATATTGGCTCTTAGCTTCTTCCATTTCAAGATACAAAACTTAAGAGGTTCAATGAGTTTTCTATGTAAGAATGTGAAGAAAAAGTGACCACCAAGACGGAGGCCTGATTCATTAAAGTTTTAAAGGCCCACTTTAGAATTAAGAACCAACATTTCCGATATTTTAGTTTGAAAGGAGAAGACTCGGTTGTGGCAATTTTTAACGGCAACTGACCTTAGGTCATGGCCAAATATTTGAGAGGTCTGAGATTCGGTCCCTACTGTTGCCATTATTTTAGGAAATACTTTTTCTCTTCTTTTTTTGCAGTACGTTTTAATGGAAATTGCCGGGTGCTTGCAAATTGTCTACACGGCAATGAATCAACTTAAATACACTATTTTGTATCGAATTGTATTTTGTTTTACGGCACTGAAATAAAAAATATTATTTCAATCCGAACGAAATTTAAATTTTTATTCTTTAACCATGCTATTTTATAGAGTATAAACTTGCCCAAAAGAAGTGCAAACATATTAAAACGAAACTAACAACTTAAAAAATATAGCTTCTATAATGTTGTAAATATAAATAAGGAAACAAAAACGTGGACCTTCGCGGTTTCGATCTTACAACATGCAGTACATTTAGATATTATAAACCCGTAATATACCCTTTTGCGCATTGACACAAATTAAATTAAATCAAATTTTACTGCGTACATCTCATGTAACTTAATATAATTATTGTGTTCATTGACCGTATAATCTGTATGTAATTGACAGGTTAATTGTACTATGTCTTCAGTCAACCGATCACAGACAAGTACCGCATTAAAATATTCATAAGTTTGAAACAAAGGCGCGATAATCGTGGATTTCTTCAGTCCATACAATACAAGGTTGCGCCCGATGTTGTAATCAAATCTGCGGCTTAAAACCTATTGAATAAGCATACGCTTCCATGCTATTTTGGACGGAAATGTACCTTCCCTTATGTATGTCTTAATAACACCATATAATCCATACTTTTGTAAAATTGCACATACTATTAGGTCTGCTTATCATAATTAAGATATCAAACAAGACTGTTGAAATTATGTTTCGCAAGATATACATCAAAAAGTCTACATAATTGTCCAAGCAAGGATTTTGCTTATGTTCGGGGGAACGGCGTCTAATGCACATTCTGTTGATGATCCATTTGGAAATGACCTGATGTTTTAACACAAAATCTATGAGATTTTTCGAGTAGCACAATATCTGTAGACGTAAAAGAAGACCACAGCTCGCAACCGTATAGCGCTTTCAGGATAATTGTAGCATCGTATATTTCCTTTAAGGTAAAAGGGTTTAAGCACTGTGGACTGATCCCACTAGAATTTATGCTCTAAGTCAGGGTCTTTCAAATAGAAATATTTGAAAGACCGTGTCTAAGTTAAGAACAAGCGTCTTCAGTCGTTTTACTTGTAGAAAGAAATGGATCACAGTTTACACTAAGATGTACACATAGTTCGATGTTTCTCAGATTTTTATATTACCAAGGTAGAAGTCTCTGTCACGACCATTATTTCTCCGTTCATTCAAAACCATTATAGCTCATTTTTTCTGCATTATAACTATAGTGCAACCGCTTTGAATATTCACTACAGATATCAAGCATAGACAGAATAAGACACTAAGAGCATATCGTCTGCTACGATAGGGGAGCTAACTCTAACATTGCAAAAACAAATACAAAACCCACTTTTCTCTAGCTCATCTATAAGCCCATTTATGTAAAGGAGATACGACATCGGACAGATTTTATCCCCTTGTCATGTGCCTTGTAATACTCTGAACCACCCCGAGAGGGTGCCCTGACATCTTACACAACTCAGCATATTTGAGTAACTGGATTAAAACGCTAAAATCTGTTGATGAGGCTTCAAATACATTATTAATAATGTATGGAAAAGAATTAATATCGGTGTTCGTCTTGCAAAAGTCACAACTGAGGTAGTTGTTATCATTTCGGAGAAAGTTTGGCGTACAATAGAATTTTTAAAGCAAGTAACTCCATTTTGTTTTCATTAGTTAGTAAGTAGGATTATTTGTTACTCTTTTACCCCAATGAAACTAGAATAGATATGAAGTCATCTTCGCATATACAAAACAAGCAAAACATAAATATCGTCTTTTCTTTAGGGATTCTTTATTTCTCTCTATTTTAGCTTCAGTCTAATCAATTTGTATTACAAAGACACCATTCTTACAATAATGACGTAAGAATATTTAAACAAAAAATGTGCCTTTATATACAATGTGTCAGGTTTAACTTAGATTGTGCATATCTTTATTCATTATCTATTGCAAATTTTTCTTGTCCGTCCATTTGCAATGAAAATCGGCAAACTCTTGTTATTTTGCTTTTAAAAATACACCTGAAAAAAGTTATTGTCACCCTTCCTTTTGTTTTGAAAGTCGCTCGCTTTCGTTCATCTGATTGCTTTTAAAATCTCACATGGTGGAAAACGTAATATTCGTTTTTTAAAATAGCACATAGAAAAGTTATTTTCGTCTGTTTGCTTTGAAAGTCGCACGTGAAGAAACATCGTTAATAGAGTTGGTTTGAAAATTTCAAACACAAAAGTTATCACCCATCTGTGCTTTGAAAGTTGTAAATCGTCAATCCGCTTGCTTTCACAACCACACATGAGTGACACATACATATAGTGCTACTAAATCTTTCTATTCAGTCCCGTTGATCGATGTTAGAAATGACAAAGTCTCAACGTTTTTGTTCTTCAGATCCAAAAAAAAACTTGTCTTGTGTATTTCTTGTATTATTATTTTGACATGATACAAATGAAATAACTTTTTATGTATTCATTTTGTTAGTACTAAAATTCAAGAAAAATCTTGATATCATATATACATACAATTCATTTCGAATTGAGTAAATATTATTCCTTTGTACATTAAAGAAACCAGTTGTCCTGCTTCATTCATACAAATGATGGACCTTGTTCTTTAGCCTTTTTCCAGGCCGGAAATTTGCTTTTCTTTACGGGAAGTGCAGGGATTCCGCTCTTGGCTAAAAGAGACTTTCCAGACTGGTCATTTATTGCCTCGTCTGTACAAAAATCTTGAGGTGATTTATGTGTTGCGTCGTCTAATGCTGATGTTTGTTCACTTGATCTACTTCTTGGTAATGTTAGATATGTTCGAGGGGTGTCATACAAAGAGACATCTGATGTGTCCAGAGATTTAGCAGGACTTATAGTTGGTCGAAGATCGCCTTTTGAATGTCTTCTCAGCGATGAAGGCCTCTTTGGGAGCACTGGGGGCTTCATCAAACTGTCAAAGAACTTCCTGTCGTTTCCAGTGGCTGAAGCGTTTAAATGAGCTGTCTGAAAGTAGAAAATAGATTTTCATTCAATACTGAATAGTGTTCTGCAATGGAATATGACATTAATCAGTTTAACTTGCTCCTTAAAATCTTTATAAGTTAGAGAGGGATAAAATTATGTGTTAATAAGAATATTACTTTTCGGTTTGCTATTGTTGACAAATGTTTAGAACAGACATCCAGTGTATAATTATTCAGAGAGATACATTCATTGTTTCAAATAATTATATTTAGACATTAATATTCACATGATATAACTTTGCTTTTACCAATACAATCTTCGTTTTTCATACTTGTTTACTCATTTACATGTCTTAATTACCACAAACACTAGACACTTCAATACTTTTAACTTTTACCTAAAATTACCATTCACTTAAATGTCATCTACATGATAAAATAGAAATAAACAATTTGTTTATTTTTTTCTTCGATTTTTTGTTTCATTACCGTCATGCTTAACTGAAACGTTCATTTGATCTGAGCTAAAGAATGTTAATAATTGGATCCCATTTTTGAATATTGGAATGCTGATTCATTAAATTATACGTAAATCAAGATAGATATTTTAGATACCTTGCATACTGGAACCGAGTTGTTTCGTTTACCGCCATGAATAACCGGAATTACCACTGGGTTTGAGATACTCTCGCCTGATGGGTTACTAAAGTCAGGTTTGATCACAGTGCCCGACGCTCCAGAACATGAGTCAATGCTTTTGCATCCAATGTCCAGTTCACAAGTGCAAATTAGCTTTGTCTGATTTTTCTCAAATATATTGTCATTTTTTTCCAAATTCACGCTGTGTTTAGAGAGACAGTCCATTAGTTTTATTTTCGCTGAATCAAAGTGTTCAGTATGTAAAGAGTTTACTGATTGAAAAACCTTCTTCCAAAGTGTTTTCTGCTCTTCTGAATTTGACTCTGGACGTATAATTTGACCGTATAGGTTATCATCTATAGCTTTTACAGACCACAAACTATCAGCAACATCCTTGATATTGATGTCCTGTTCTATTTTACAAATCACACACGTACTCTTCTGCGTACCTTTTTGCACACTACTTCTTTCTACATCGACGAGAATTTTATGAGCAACTTCTTCATTGTAGCGTTTGACATTTTTCATAAATCCATCCAAGACGTTTAAGTCTCTTCCTTTCATGAGGCTTATCAGTGCTCGTGTACGATCTTTTCTATCGCCAATGTGTTTAAATGATTCACATTCGTCTCTTGTCAGACACCCTTCAAGAACAAGATCGTCCAGTAGGTTGTCGACGTGATATGCGAGACCATCAACAATAACTTCAATGTGAAACTGTAGAGTGTTTGCAAAGCAATCTCTTCTATCGGCTGGGTGAACTGCAAGGCAACGCGTAAATGAGAATAAATAATGGAGAATGTTTTTTACTTTGTAAGAATTTTTTCTAGAACTTTTTATTCAAAAACACTTTCATTAAATAAATATTTACTTTTAAAACTCAAATTTTATATGTCATCAGCATAATTCTTAATGCTCAACATACATTCATTGTGATTTTACGTAGTTCTATCATTTTTGTAATTCTGATTCGGTTCGTTGCCAATGGTGAGTTTTGTTTTGTCATAATTTTTCAGCCTCACTGGTAGAGAAAGACATTATTATCGGTCAAGCGAGCACCTAAGAAGAACCATCGACTTCCTATAAATATCTTGATAGATTCCTCACTTAGAAATGGTATTCAGCTCATGGAAGATCGGCGGTTCAACTCGTGCCTGAAATTATGCACGGAGAGATACCTGAGGTTCCTACTTTACCAGCAAAGCTGCAAAGTCCCCTAATGACCTTTACAGAATTGGCTCGACGTAAAACCTAAACCATAAAAACATCTTCCCGGGGAAGAATCAGGAGTCGAACCAACGGAAATGTGATTAATAAGATTTCAATGGACTTCTTGATAGTGATAATGTTAGGTTAAGAAAGGTTCAAGTTAAAAAACATAAGCTCCCAAGAAAGATCGGAAGTAACATGTGCGTATAAACTGCAAGACGGGGTACACGTTGAAATGTATAGACTCGAAAAACAGCGTTCAGCGATTTCGTTTATATACTGTTGAAATAACCGTTACAATATTTCGAAAACAAAATCAAACATTTCTCACCTCTAGTTGCTTGAACTTCAGATTTCTGCCTTGGTTTTACTTCCACAACTTTTCCTTTTGACTGAAATGAATTGTTATGGAATATTTTTGAATGCGCATGTCCCTGTGCTGTTTCAAGATAAGGAATATTTCTTGGTTGCACAAACGGCCTCCTCTCAAGTGCAGTTGACACGTCAGATGTCTTTTCGCCTGAAAGTTTCGTTTGAAAATCAGTGCCAATTTGACTTTCGTTGACTCTTGTTCTGGAAGCATTAGTATAGTGTTGATCATCATCAGATATATTATGTTTATTTTGCTCCAATGGACGTGGTATATCATACAGAGAATAATTTGTATTGCAGTCATCGACGTTGGCTGGATCGTTGTCTCTATAGTCGACTGGCCACTCAGTTTGGCAAGATACATTCGAATATGTCTTGATGGTCTCTGTTTTTCCTTTAATTGTCTGTACTTCGTTGAGTATTTTGGTTAACATTTCGCTCAGTGGATCAGAGAGTTCTCTTTTGATTTCTTTAACAATTTCATCTTTCAAATGAGTCATATTTTGATTCGTTGCGTGCTGAAAAATGACAACACTTGAGTAAACTTTTCACTAATTGAAGTATAAATAAAAATTAAAAGGTTGACTGGTAATGTCACAAAAAATAATATTTAATATGTTTTATCTTTTCAAACTCAATATACATGATATATATAAATTAATAAATATATAAATTTCTGTTTAAATATATCGTTACACAATAAAGAAAATGTTATTATTTAGTGATTAATGAAATTATTCTACCATTCCATCCGCCGATGAGCCTCTACTGCCTGGACATGGTGTAGGTGAGCGAAGGTCTGCCAATGACGATGATGACTTCACGTGAAGCTCGTGCCCAGTTGTAGCGTGGTTGACATACATTTTACTGTCGTCTTCTTCCTTGACACTTAATACCATAATATGTATGTATAAAGAATATGTACAATTGGAAATATTTTATCTATGTCCTGGTTTGCTCCGGTCCAAAATACAAAGCAAAACTTTGTACACAAGTAAGACTCAAACGGAAATTGAGATTAAACAGATATACTCGTATGTCCCTATAAAAAGTTACAGTAATTTAAACTTAATCAAACTAATCGTTAAATTCAAATTTCAACTTTAACGATAATATAAAAAAAAGTATATAATAAATAACCACTACACAATTTACAAGATAATTGAAAAAAGAAAGAAACTTACATAATGAATTTCAGGCTGCAAAGTCTATTTATCGACCGGGGTCTGTCGTACACAATGATATGTTACCCCGCTACTACTGTATTTTAATCGCATACCGGGTATTTACAAAGAGTTTCGGTTAATTTTTTTTCCTTCCTTGTAGGCGGAATCTCGTTATCTATAACTAATATCTGAAATTTATAATAAAGTCTATTCAAACATTTGACCTCGTTTATTATAACCTTTATTCTCAACGCAGGTGCTTTTTGGCAATGAATTCCCGTATTTGACAGACATAATTGATTTGGATGAATGGCTACGCTCTTTAAAACATTTATGATTTCTTTATTCGAGTTTATAATGAGATCCTTGATATGAAATGCAAGAAGTGCATTTATTTCCTTTCAATGTTACCTTTAAAAAATACCTTAAAATATGCTTCTTTACTTGTTGAAATTCAGATTAGTTTCTGTTTCAGATTTGGTAATTATTTGACGAAAACTTTTTTATGATCTTTGAACCAATTAGCGTTTCTTAAACACTGAAAAACAGCAAGGAAATATTATGCGTTATTTTTCTATTTTTGTTTTGTTCTACATTTCACAGATACACTTAAGCCAATCAGATACGAAAGCAACCCACGCATGATTCAAGTGTTTATAAACTCGTCAACATACGGGTAGTTAGCATTGATTTTTAAAAGGGAATACATTATGTAATAAGTGTGTTATGACAATTGGAATGTATAAAAACCAATTAGCTCATAAGAGTTTCCTTTTTTGTACAGAAGGAGAGAATTAGTAAATATGTGCTAGTATGGATGCTTTCTGGTTTAAACCTGTCATAGACCAGGTTTTGTTTTACGTTGTAACGTGTTATTTAAATTAAGTAGACAGTTGAATATATAATTGTTGAATTTATAATTGCTACTGTTAACACATAATCATCATTGACCTAGATTTGAATTAAATTTCGTTCATAATAAATACGAGTGACGAAAAATGAGTGCAGGAATCAAAAGGGTCTGCGAGAGTAGGAAGGCGTTTCACAGATCTAAATCCGAAAGCCAGGCGGAAACATCATTACAAACCAGGCGTTTTAATGAGACAAGGTCACTGTCCCCTTGCTCGGAACAGTCTTCAGTTTTTGACAACACGGTAAGTTATTTATACATAAGTTATGCTAGACTTGATCGAGTTATTTCATAGTAACAGTATCAAATGTATTTTTGAAAAGGTAATTGCTAGTGAACAATATTTTTTACAATATTATACCGTTTTAAATTTAATACGGATATTGTTTTTGGTTTTTGGGGGGGTTTTTTTATACTTTTGCGCACTTAACCACATCCGTTGAATAAACAAGCTGCATTATATGCTGGCATTTACAAAGTTATGAAAGCCTCGATGATATATATTGTTCTGTAAATCGTGTTGTTAAGGTGGAAAAAAATCTTTATTTGTTAAATTGCAGAGCGGACACAAAATTTGAACAGGACTATTTTAATTGTTAGGAAGTGGGTGGATACATTTCTTCTAATAGACAAATATTTTGGTCATCCCTGTATGAGTAAATTAGTGCTGGCATGACTATAATAATAATAATAATAATAATAATAATAATAATAATAATAATAATAATAAGAAGAAGAAGAAGAAGAAAGAAGAAGAATCATAGTAATAGTGGTACTTAAAACAAACCAGAAATTGATGAAAATTTAATCTAAAAGAAAATTATGTAGAATATAAAATGTATCTTTGCAAGATTTCAGTTACTGTTTCCTTTCCCTACATCCTTATCCTTTTATTAACCTTTTGTTTAATTGTCTTCTGTAATATCTTTGTTGGTTTCCCTGTACGTACTGACTTTATAATAACGGTCCGTCCGTGCTTTGCCCTTGTTCCCTCTCCTGTATTTGTTAGGTGTTCTGCTGGGCTCCTTGCATGTGTTCCTGTGTTGCTGTTTTGTTATCGGGGTTGCGTTCAATAAAAGCGGACCTTCCTTGTTGATCTTCGTTTTCATATTTTACTTTAAATGTGATGGGGCATTGAAGAGTTTGGTAAAGTTCATTCGAATTGTTTGATCAAATCAATTTTAAATGAATTTCTCAAAGATTTTGCGATGAGTTCGCAAACAATTACTGACACTCATTATTCCATTTTACAAGACGGTATATTTTTGGATAAAACACCTTATTTGTATAAAGTGGTGTAAAACAGTAGCTAGCTTGACAGTAGATGTATGTCTATTTGTTATACAGGAGATCTTATCTGTTATACAGTCAAAAGTATATTTCCACAAAATTAATACTGGTTATTCTAGGAACCGGGTTCAAAATGACAATTGAGAACTATTGACGGCAATTTGCACTTATGAATTCATAGTTAACGATACAGTTTTAGCCAATAATTAAAAGCCTTAAACTAAAACGTTTTCAATGTGCATGGAAGGTTAATAGACTGCTGAAATTTTGGCGCATTTTAAAAAGAAACAACAAAACAAAGACGCCGATGATTATTCTTCAAATGTAAAATGAGATTGAAAATATAATGATTTTCGATGATTATCTAATTGATAATAGTTCATGTTTTGTCACTGTGACATAAAGATTTCTAAAATAGCGAAATTCATCATGTTCATAGCGCGAAATTATACCAAATATCAGATTTAAGCATGCTTAATTGTGGTTTAATTTGAATAATTTTATAGATGTATGAATGGTTAATAATAGATATATAAGATACATTGAATTGCATAAGTGAAACATAAAACCGTAAATCTTACACTTTCATAGATGTTATACATGTATCATTTTAGAATATATTAAAACTACTGTTTGAAAAGCATTTTTCTTTATTAAACGAGTTGAAAGTTTCACCCAAAATATTTAGATTGATTGTAAAATCTATTTGCGTTACACTGAAATGATAAGCAATAATCTTTACAACTTTTTTCGAACAGTCTTGTTAATATTGTAATGGATAAAGATAACTCAAATACCTGAATGCTGAATATGGCTTTAAACGAACATTTCTGTATCTTTCTTACAGCAATGGAATAAAGAAAGCACTGCTCATATTTGTGAATCTTGTTTATTTTAAAATACTGTTCACAATAAGTTAAAAACTTTCTTCTACAGAAATGCGATAGCTGTGGCACTATAGGAAACCTAACGGCATCCATAATAAATGATATGCGATCGGAAATGCACAAACTTATCACTCCTCTGGTGGACGAAATTAAGCAACTTCGACAGGACATGAAGAAATTTCAACCAGACATGCAGTCACCCAAGAACAAACAGACATGTGTTCGAGCGGAGTGCAGAACAAACGACATATCATGCAGTTCAAATGAACCACAAGGATTGTTGAATGAAAACGGAGATAAAGAAGAAGGTATTTATCAGGATATGAATGAAGCTGCAACGCGTTCAGATGATGTCGGTGGAATAGACAACAAGCTGTATGACTATGTTCATGGAAATACCCATAATCCGTTGAATAATAACAAGGATAGTAATGGTACTGTGGGAGAAGAAAAAGGAGAAAGTCGTATTCAGCATAACACTCAGTCACCGAAAACAACGAGACATAAAGAGATTCGAAGTAAATCAGTTCAAGACAGGGCTAAAATTGTGCCCGTTGCTCCAAGACGACGATCTCATATCCATATAAATAAAGGTATATTAATTGTAAAAAATCATCCAAACGCCTGAAGGTTAGAATATCTTAATAATCAGAGCTTTTTCTATTTATCCCCTATAAGCATTTTATAGCTATAGTTATTTATGAAAGGTTGTTTTCCGTCATCCATTAGGATATATATAAGAGTCTTGTGTTTAATTATTTCATTCGAATGAAGATGTTTATCTAGAATAGTCTTAAATTGAGCATTGAAGTTTCCTCATCTGTTTACAGTTTTTGACGAACGAGAATGTCTAGCGAATGCGTTACAGTTTCATGTTGAGGACCTAGTTGACGGACTTATTTTTCGTGACAGCGAATAACCTGATTTTATTTTAGCTGGACGATTGCCTTTCGAAACGAGTTGCAACTCTGCAAAAATTTTCATTAAAAAAGGAAAGATCAAAATAAGAATTTTGTTGACCACTTGTTAAAAGGCCTTGACCTCGGTATACTTAATCATTCATGAATACCCGAACAAAACCGAGAGGGTTGCGCAAAGATAAATGGCAAAGTTGAAGCAAAAAAAAACTGATTGGAGGACAGGAAATTATTGCTCGTGTGCAACTTGAAAACAATTTATGTAAACGTGTTGCTTGATAGTTTTATGGGCTATTCAGGCAATAGATGAGGGACTTATAACACAATTATTTTCTCTGAAGCACCTCTAGGCGCCCCCAATAGCCATAGTGGAAAAAAAGTTGATTCAATGTAGAAACATACTTGAAAAAGCAAAAAGGATCAAAAGAACAAGGCTTCAAAGAAAACTGATAAATGCACTTTTAAATAAAAAACTGTTTGTTTCATTTGGGCAAAAGGGATAAGCGATACCTCAGTAAAAATCAATGACAAAAACTGACCCTTGTTGAAACCAAAAACTATTTCTACTAAAAACGAAAACCCATCATTTGGTGTTGGGGAAATTTAACTCTGCCAGAATCCCGTTTTACCCCCGATTTCATTTGTCGCGAGGGGAATTCAAACGATTCATCAACGTTGATGGGTCTGAAAAATATTATATGCAAGAACAAAAAGGTAAAAACCCTTTGGTAACAACGACGGGAATGTCTGTCATCAAGAAAAAAACAAAACAATGAGTCAGGGAAAAACGGTATAATTCATAATATTTTTAAAATTAAAGCGATGCGAAAAATTCTTTTTTATATGTCTTATAAACAAAAATTGTGAAAAAAAATAAAATAAAGTGAAAGAAGTATTTTTTATCTTCCGTATTTCCACAGTAGAAATTTAAATTTCACCGCAGTGAAACATATTTTTCCGTATTTTCATCAGTGACTCGCCGGACCTTTTTCTTCTAAATTTAGCCAATACACAAAATTAAAGGGGTAGTCTTTCGAATCATAAGACCAGAAAGAGTAATAGTATGTAATAAACAGAAATTTCAAGAATTCCTATAGATACAGGATTTATAGCCATCTCGCTGTAAGAAAATTATCATATTTCACTTGAAATATCTATTTTTATACCACTTGATGACAAAATCCCGTATTTTATAGCTAATAAAACACTTGAACTTAACATCAGTTAATCATTTTATGTTCTGTTCAATTACTTATTTTCTTTTTGAAAGGTGTACCTAATAATTAAACAAGAGTTTTACATATAAAATTACCATGTCCCATTTTGATTTTTGTTGAAGTGTTTGAAAATATATTAGTCATTTTGCCCTTTTTTTGCAATTTGTGTCCAGATACATAGGCTGTATCAAGAATATATCGGAAGTATCTGAAATCAAATGGACTTTTGATTCTGCCATGTAAGGAAGCTCTCCGGCTAGCTTACGGAATGTCAATGGTTTTACTCAGCTGCCCGTTCGTGTCTGAAATAATGTACGGAGCGAACCTGGGCAATTCCTCCGCCAGATGGAAAGTCGCATTTAGACAAAAAAACTATATTGTCAGTGCGACGTACAATCCCACCCACCCAGCATAAAACTGGGATCAGTATAATGAATTACTATAGATATTTATTCGCATACCATAATATGCCTATCAATGATTTGTTTTTTTCTTTTCAATTTTCCAGCTGACTCCTTCTCCTTCAAGCAATGTACAGAAACTAACAAACTGTTTTAGTACACCACCTCAGCAACAAATCAACACTGCTCCTATAACGGCATCGGACAACAACTTATCAGCATCATCATCAATGCAAGAGCCAAATGCTTTGGAAAGTCTTAAGTCTACTCAACCCGATAGCTCAAAAACTTTAAAGAAACCTATCGTACCTAAAAAGCCACCACTTCCTTTAAAACAACCATGTATGAATTTAGACAAAGATTCGAATGAATTGAGGGAAGTGAAAACATGCGTATTACAACAGAATCCAACAGAAATCAACACACCTTTAGATCTTTCACTAAAATCAAGCCCTCAAAACGCCCAAGTTGTAGATAGTGGCCTCCCCGATAGTAAAAACAGTATTCCACCTCTACCAAAAAAGGTAAATCAAACACGAAAAACATGATTGTAGAGAGGACAAGTAGTAGTCCGTCGTCGTCGTCTTTGGCATCATCATCATTATCATCATCATTATCATTATTATCATCATCATCATTTCAAAATGTATTTTTGTTGTAATAACATATTTTATTATGTAGGTAAATAGAAACTGTGTGAAATAAATTGTTAATTGTTATCAGTTTAATTATTTTGAAATTGAACACACACACACGCACGCACACACACATCACACAAAGCGAAATCAATTAAGAGTTCTGGCATCCAATTAAGAGATGAAGATGATTGACCCGTTTATTTTTAAGTAGCGAAAAGGGGAAAAGGTATAAATAATTGCAAACATGAAATACCATACATCTCTTATTAAATTGATCGATGATTTATTTTTGACATACCGTTAAAATTTTGAAAAGGGGTGTTCCCTCGGAAGCAATGGAAAAAAAATACAGAAGTCTGCTAATGTGCAACATCTCTCACGCCCCCTAGCACCGGCTTAAACCGTGTTCAATCTTTAACACTAATGTGCTGGAAACTATGAATCCGAAGAAGCAGAAAACTAAAACAACAGTGAAATGAAGTACGGGGAAACCTTTTACAGTTGTCAGACCTGACACCTGCTGTTGTGAAGTATAAATTATGGATGATCCCTCGGAAGCACTGAAATAATACTAATTATATATACAATGTAATTATAATATATATGAATATAAATAAATATATATATATATAAGAAGTTTATCAAATGTTCTCATTAACCTATGTTAACGTCGAAGTTAAAGCGGTCTTTTAATTTGTGTTTTTCATTCAAAGCCTCATCAAGATGTTACTTTTTATTTAAATTTAAATTACTTTTTTATTTTAAACTAGTGACGGTTAAGATATTCAACACTTGATAGTAAACAAAATTAATAGAAAGAGAGTTTAAAGAGTACAAGATATATGAGCTACGTCACGACAAAACCAACATAGTGCGTTTGCGACCAGCATGGATCCAGACCAGCCTGCGCAGTCTGATCAGGATCCATGCTGTTTCTCTACTTGTAATAGAGTTGGTAAGCGAACAGCATGGATCCTGATCAGACTGCGCGGATGCGCAGGCTGGTCTGGATCCATGCTGGTCGCAAACGCACTATGTTGGTTTTGTCGTGACGCGGCTCATATGATTGTAGCTCTGCTGACATCCCTTTCAACTCTGACAAGTATACAACCGCTTTATTATAGAGCCGTATCATAAAATTATTTGTTCAAATTCACTGGTAATAAATCATTCTAATTGAGATGTCAGTTAAGTTATTTGGGATTTATTTTTTATATTTATTTTCGCACATACTTTAAATCCTCATAATTCATGTACTTAGAAGAGGTAAAATGTTTGAACGCACATTAGTTATGCACATTAGTTTAGTTTTGCCAGAGACATTAATAACATGTTATCTCTGGTTCTGCATTATAACCATGATTCGGTTCTTTCTATACATGCTTTAAACGTCACAACAAGGAAGTTTAAAAATCGCTATTATAGCGACAGTAACAATCATATTATGATCAAATCATACTTTGATTTATAACTATATTATTTACCTAATAAAGTATTTTACAATGTCTATGCATATTATGGGACATTGAGAAATAAACAGACACACCGCAGTAAATATTTTAGTAGAAAAATGCTTTTGTAGGTATCTTAAGTTTAATACGTTAATGTTCAGCCCATAACCTTGTCATCCGGTGACAGATTTTGTAATCGCTTGGCTTAAATATATGTTGTTTGTTTAAAAAAAAACACAATCTTTGATGAGTGAGAACAACTTTAAAGCTTTAAGATCAAGGTCACACTAAGACTTTAAAGGTAAAGTTTCATAAAAGTACATTGATAGTCATACGTAGAGATCAATTATGTCATTCAAAAGTCATTTTGATTTTTACCGTTGATTATATATATACTCGTAGATGTCTTAAATATCCGTCACTGAATGACAAAGTTATGGGTTGGAAGGTGACTATCAATGCACTATCATATCATGATTTTTGACATTAAAGTTTAAACTTGACCTTTGGGCTTCTGTACTTAATTTATTTCACTTCATACCATTTAAATAAGCATCATATTTATGCACATTAATTTCCAAACCCGTTCATAAATAATTGAGCTATGCACAAACGAACACATCCAAGTGTGGCCTTGATACCTGACTCATGTCTAACATACAGGAATGACAAAATTGTTGACTTGCAACGACATTCAATGTACTTTAAAGAAAAAGAATGTATCATCCGATTTTCGAATAAAAATGCGATTGAGGACCTGATGCCTACGGGCGACACGTTGTCTGTTTGTTTCAAGCACATTAATACGCGTAGTTATTTTTAATCCATTCAGGAATGATAGAAGTGTTGACCGGACACGAACATCAGTTCATTTGTATAAATATTCAAATCGTGACTATGGATCTACATGTGTCTTTGACCATTGATCTAGGGACACGCCGTCATGATGCTCATCATATTGATGCATAGAAAATTGTATCAACCGAAGGAATGACAGAATTATTGACAGTGCAATTATATAAAACATTTCTTGTCTAGACGAAATGTACTCTTGATCTTTGAGCTAAGAATCCGATGCTTGAACACGACACATCGTCATAATGTGATACTCATGTATACACATTTAAAATCCATCCGATGATGACAAAGTTATGGACCAAACACAAAGTTGGGACAGACGGACGATGCATCCTCCCCATTTCGTTTGCCTGGGAAGGGATAAAAATTTGCACACCAAACTATCAGAATTTCTCATAAAAGTTGTGCAATAACTTCTAAATTAAACATGTTTGCTAATACGTACGTAGTCAGACA